CCATAAGCACGGCCTGATGATATGACTGAGGTAAAACAGAGGGACAAACACAGTGCTAAGAAGATTTAAAAATACTGCTGCAAGAATAAGCTGCTGGTAAGTCAATACTGTATTCCACAAACAACACTTACATTTGCAGTTACGGTGGTTTTTCGCCTTTGCTGAGGAACTGGATGTGAGGAAGTGCACACACGAGCTCTGCTGCTGCTCTACAGCTCTCGGTGACCTCTACGGCACTGCTGCAATTACAAACATCACTGCCTCTGCAGCCCCCCCCCCCACCTCTGACCCACGAGATCTGCCACCATCACCCCTGGCTGCAGAACTACGCAGCCGCGCCAGGCCAGCGTGGGGTTGCTTTGCTCTTCAAAACAGTGGTTTGTAGCATTTACAAATAAAAGATGGAAACTCACATACTGTAGCCAAACATATGTGCTGTTTTCCCATGTCTGCAGAGACTAAATAACAGCAATATGAAATGCAGACAGCCCCACTTCCCCTTGAGCCCAGAACTCCGCCACCAGCAGTGTCGATTTTAACTATTTCATCAACGAGCACGCTGCTAATAGCAGTTTGCTGTGGTACAAATCCCTGATTCCAGATATTATGGCCACTTCCACCATCCCAGCAACCTTGCAGCAGAATTTTCACCCCATTAGTTTCTGCGAGCTGTGGAGTAAAAACTGGTGTAACACAGACAGCAACAACAGAATCAAACACTAATTTTATATTCAGCGGTATAAGGAACACTGCAATGACAGCGTGACTTTGTGCCGCGGTTTGAGCCCAGAGGACAACTGAGCACCATGCACCCATCCCCTTCTCCTGGGAACAGGAAGGAGAAAATGAAACCAAAGGCTTGGGAATTGCGATAAGGACAGGGTGGAGTAGTTTATCCATTATGGTTACAGGCAAAAGGCAAACTCCTTAGGGGAAGAAAAAGAACATCAATTTAATTCAAAACACTACCACCACCACCACTTAACAGAGTGGGACAGTGAGAAGCATTACCACACCCTAAAAAACACCTTCCCCACACCCTTCGCTTCTTCCCAGGCTGTTTTGCTCCCCATCTCTCTACCTCCTCCCCCTCAGCAGCGCAGAGGGCAGGGAACGCGGGGGTGCAGTCAGCCTTGCCTCTTCTTCCTCCTCAGGGGGTGGACTCTACACATTCTCCCCTGCTTCATGTGGTTCCCCTCTTATGGGAGACAGTCCTCCATGAATGTTCCCTGGCGTGAGTTCATCCCATGGGCTGCAGCATTTCCTGAGCTGCTCTGGCGTGGGTTAACCCCACATGTTGCAGTCCTCCTCCCTGTAGCTTTGTAGCCCATACAAATGTTTCTCACCAAGCACAAGGAACACAATGGAGCCAGTGATTAGTGGAAGCCCAATACTTAGAGGCTCTATTGTGTAAGCCTGATACCATCCAGCCCGTGCTAACCACTTCACCATTGAAGAAGAGATAAAAGATTAGTAAAGAGATGAGCATCCTCCCCAGTTGGCACCATAGGCTGGATGGTTGCCCAAGAAGCATGAAGTCAGCAAAAATCTGTGATAACTGGGGGGAACTTGCCCCCCCACCTATAAGGAGCACACGTGCTAATTTACACAGCAAGTGAGGCTAATTCAAATTTAACTAACCAATAGCAGGTGGAACGGTAATTACAGACCACTGAGTGTAAACTTAGATAGGTTTTTACTAATCATGTAATAGGATAAATAGGCTGTAGCTCCTTTGTTTAGTGTGCTAGCTCTGTGGAATTACCCCCCCCAGCATCCATCTTTGCGCAACTACAGAGTAAATTGATCTCTCGGCTCTGCGTGTGAGATTGGCTTTTGCACACCGGGTAACAAACCTTACTTGAGGGATAACACTCCCAGCACCGAACTACAGCAGCGGGGGGCTGCTTCTCCCCTCAGAGTCCCGGCCTCCTTTCAGCGCAGCCGCCTGTCCTGGCGTGGGCTCCCCCACAGGCTGCAGGTCGGCCTCTGCTCCACCGCGGACCTCCACGGGTGGCAGGGGGGTGGCCCTGCCGTCTCCCCACGGGATACGGGGAAGGGAAGATCTCTGCTCTGGCACACCTTTTCTCCTTCCTCCTCTTTTCTTCCACTGACCTCGGTGTTTGCATAGGTGTCCCCCTCACAAATCCTCTTCACAGATCCCCACTCCTCCTCCCAGGTTCCCCTTCTCAAATACATCATCACAGAGGTGCAGCCACCGTTGCTAATTGGCTCAGCCTTGGCCAGAGGCGGGTCTGACTTGGAGCTGGGGGAGATTTAGAGAAGGTTCCCATAGGGGCCACCACTGTATCCCCACCCCTCACTACCAAAAACCCTGACACACAAACTCAGCACACTTTGCATACTAAAATATAGGGATCTAGATGCTTGTACAGTAATGTATCGGCCACAAAACTGGCCACAGTCAGGGTACCCCTCAAGAGAGGCCCACTGTATACATTCCCTCCTCATGTTCTTCCTTAAACACCCACTGCTGTCTGCTCCTAAAAGTGGGATACAGAGCTAGAAAGCTGTCTGACCTGACTCAGGACGCTTGTTCTGGACAACAACCTTGTATCTGGGCATCATACCTTCTACTGCCTGGACCTCCCGTTCCTGCATGCTCAGATTCACACTTCAGCTGAGGAATTGTTATTCTGTAGAAAACGTAGCTGGAAGGTATAGGCAGACCCAGACAGCTTGCCTGCAAACCACTGTCTGAAGGCTCACAAGGTGAGGAAGTCAAAGGAGGTCCACTGAAAGTCAGTAAGAAAGGTAGACAACCCAGCCAAGAACAGCAGAAAAGAAAAAACAGAAGTACAGAAGTGAGTGATTTTTCCACTTTGCATTTTTGCTCAGTTACAAACGCACATCATTTTGGCAACACTGCACAGGATGATCTACAGGACTCTCCTTAAGTAAAAGAGATCTTGAGGTGTGGAAAAGGGAAAGGGATTTCCAAACAAATAAGACTTTCCTACGATGTCAAGAGTTTTGGCAAACACTGCTGTATCAAATAAAGGACATGATCCAAAAAGTGGGGAAGAAAAAAAAAAAGCACCCAAAATGCCTGTAGGACTTCAAGGGTTTCTGAAACAGGCTTCCAAGGCTCAACATGGAGAAAAGTGAGGAAAATTTGCCTGCTAACCATTTTTAAATGTGCAAATCGAGAAATAAACACAAGAAAACTTTCCACAGATGGGTTGTGTTTTCCCTGCTTTTGGCTTGGCCTTTACAATACTGTGTATCTAGCAGCTGTGCTACGTCTGGTTTCCACAAAGTACCTGCCAGACCAAGTCAACAGCCTGTGCTACATGCTCTCAGGGGTTGTTCAGTGCTCATCACTGTAGAAGTAAAAAGTACTTGAATGCCATTCGTAATGTTGAAGAAGTTAACAGGCCATCATTTGATTACCACTCCTCTTAGATGTTATCCACTCAGACAAATGGAATAAATATTCTGAATTTTTAAATGTTACAAAGGCAGAGCACTGGGAGTCTGCTCTATTGCACAGTCATTGAAACAGAGAGATCAACCCAGTGCCCTTTTCAATTACCAAAAGCTTGTCATAACACAGAGTGTGTTGACAACAACCCAAAGGTTTACCTCCCGGGCATAAAATTGAGTAAGTATTACCCAGTAAGAGAAATAACATTTTAAAGCCTCTGTCTTTGAATATGACAAAAATCCATGCCATGAACAAGTTATTTTCAAATTTTAATTTTGCCTATGAGAACAGAAAAATTATCAGAAAATTTACCAGAAAAACAGCCACATGGGCTCATTTTCTAGAAATGCACTGATGAGCATTTGCTGTTTTTTGTTTTTTTTTTTTTTTTTTAACAGGCTGCTGTATTCCTGAAGCGCAGCAATTTGGCTTCAGCTCCCCAAAGCACACAGCTATTTTGATCATTAAGTAGCCTTCACCCTTGCAAAACGCAATCAAAGAAAAGCTCTATGCTGGTGTCAATGAAACTAAAAGGTTGCGTCTTTTCCTCCCTAGCCCTCTGCAACTATGAGAGGGTCTTCATCGTGCGTTATATCCCCCTGAATTCTTGCACGAAGAAGGTTTCAGGTAATAAGTACCTTCTATTGTGACGGATTTTATTTTTTTATATAGGAACACAAATATTTTCCCAGCATAAACATGTACAAAACGTTTAAAACAGCAACACGGGTATCACAACGTCACAGCTAAACTCCTTTTAACAGAGCCATGCGTATAAGCTTCTCCTACTGACACCTAAATCCGATTCCCTTAAAGAGATCACGTTGACAGGCACTGACTTCTTCCAGAAAATAAAAAAAAAGACATCCTACCTGCAGTCCCCTGCTCCTCCACATATACTCTCAGATGCAAAGATTTTGTGCTAGCCATATTTTTTTTTCGGGTGAACGCCTGCCTACAGCGAAAGGGGCTAGACGAAGCAACGCTCAGGGTGAAAATCAAATCCTTCCAGCCTTTGGTGGGGAGATGTGGGGCTGCAGGACCCGCTACTACCCCGCTCTCTAATCACATATTTGTAAACACGTAACAATAAATAAATAAATAAAAAGCACCCGAGGGGACGGCACTTGCTCAGCCGCCACACAAAAGCCAGGGAAGTATCAACGGGGGCGGGGGGGGAAACATCCTGAATTTCCACGTACCTGTGGGCGCCGTGCCGGGGGGGGGGGGGGGGTGGAAACCGTTTCCCTCAGCCCTGGGGAGGGGGGGGAGCGGCAAAGACCCCTCAGCCAAGAACCTTTTTTCCCCTCAGCCAAGAACCTTTTCCCCTCAGCCAAGAACCTTTTCCCCTCAGCCAAGAACCTTTTCCCCTCAGCCAAGAACCTTTTCCCCTCAGCCAAGAACCTTTTCCCCTCAGCCAAGAACCTTTTCCCCTCAGCCCCGCTGCCGCCACCCTCTCGCCGTCCCCGCGGCCCCGTTCCCCGGGAAGTTCCCGGGGGGAGGCGGAGGGGCCGAGGCCGGGGTTTCGCAGGGAGCTAACGGCGGCGCTCACCTGCCCAGCGGTCGCTTCATGCCCGTGTCGGCGGTGGGCAGGCGCAGGCTGTGCCTCAGGCTGCAGCCCTTATCGAGGGAGGAGGAGGCGGCGGAGGAGGCGGCGGCAGCGGCGCGTTCATGCTCCACCGTGACCGACTCGTTGCGTTTCCTCATGCCGTGGCGGGTCGGCGGCGGCCCCGGGAACGGCGAGAGCGGCGCCTCGCACAGCCACGGCTCGGCCCGCGCCGCGCCCCGCCCACGCCACCGCCCCCAGCCAATCCCCGCCTCCGGAGCGGGCGCGCGGCGGAGCCGCCGCTTGCCAGCACTTCGGCGGCAGCCGCGGCGCCATCGCGAGTGAGGGCAAAATAAATAAATAAATAAATGCTCGCCGCCCCCCCCCCCCCACACACACACCGGCCGCCATTTTGTTGCGGCGGCCTCGGAACCTCCAGTGGGTTGGCGGCAGCGCGGGGGGTGCGAGCAGATGGCGCTGCCGGCTGTGGGGAGAAGCTTTGGGGCACGGCGGGGAGCGCGCAGGGACCTGTGGTGATGCGCCAGGCGCTGTACTGGTGCAGGGGGGCTGGGAGATGCCGTCCCCTCTGGTGTCACGGAAAGCTGGAGGCGACTGGAAGCGCTGGCGCCCGGAACGGACACCCAGCTTGGTCGCAAGGGGCAACGGCATCGTTAAACTGCTTCCCGATGAAGGGCCGGTGGAGAACGAAGGAACGCCGCTTGCTCTGGAAGGGCTGCGAGACCCTGCCCAGGGGTCACGCACCTGAGCGGGGGGACGTGGCGTAACTGGTACCAGGCTGCGGGGAGGCGAAACGGGCCGCAGCCCTGGCAGACTCAGCGGTGAGGACAGCACTGAGGTCACAGAACCACAGAATGGTTTGGGTCGGAAGGGCCCTCAAAGCCCCCCCCAGTGGCACCCCCTTCCCCCAGCCCAGGGGGCTCCCAGCCCCGTCCAACCTGGCCTTGAACCCTTCCAGGGAGGGGGCACCCACAGCTGCTCTGGGCACCCTGGGCCAGCGCCTCATCACCCTCATAGTGATGAATTTCTTCCTTCTATCTAATCTAGATCTACCCTTTCTTAGTTAAAAGCCATTACCCCTCATCCTGTCACTACATGCCCTTGTAAAAAGCCCCTCTCCACCTTTCCTGTAGCCCTCCTGGGAGGCCGCTCGAAGGTCTCCCCGGAGCCTTCTCTTCTCCAGGCTGAACCCCAACTCTCTCAGCCTGTCTTCACAGGAAAGGTGCTCCAGACCCCTGATGATCTTTGTGGCCTCCTCTGGACTTGCTCCAACAGGTCCATGTGCTTCTGATGTTGGAGGCCCCAGAGCTGAATGGAGTTGAGTTGATGACACAGGTAATTGGTCCCTGAACAGTCAGGGAGCATTGCTGTCCACTATTTTGTCTTCCAAAACTTTTTCTGAAGCAAAAGGCAGCCGTATCAAACTTTTGGATGTGATTGCCCCCTCTCCCATTTGCTCTGTAGCCTTATGGGGAAGTTATGACACCACTTTGGAAAGCACATCCTCATCTGGTGATCTCTACAGACGCACACAGGCAAGGCTGAGTTGCTGCAGAGCTTCCCTAGCAGTGTGGGGATTCTGCACTGGAAACAAGTGGCAGCAAATAAAGAACAAATAAAACATCCTCTCCAGTATCAGCCATAGCTGGTGACTGCACTGTCCAGACCATTGAGGAGCAGGACAGCCATGCACTGCAGAAAGCAGCCAGGCTCATGTGTTCTGTCTTCCACTGCCACTGCTGGGTTATCTCTTAGGGTATCTTATGTGTTCCTGTAAAGTGAAAAAGTGAAGCAATACGTGGAAAATGGCTCTTTCCACAAGTGATCTCAGCTGTTTTGCATCCATTCCTTCTGATTTGCTGCTGGCTGATCCGGAACCTAATAGAACATGTTGATTCAAGAGAAATACATTAATGAATTAATCCCAAGAGCAAAGACAAGGCAGTGGACCAAAAAGGAGGAAGCAATTGTGGAAATACAAGCCTCAACTATCTCATCAGTTATGGATAGCTAGTAGAAAGTACTGGGTAATGTGCTAATATGTGCTATGTCATGTCTCTGGAAGCTGCTTCTAACATTTGAGACCTTTTAGAGATTTTCTCTCAACCAGATCATAATTGCTAAAATTTTCATACAGATTTTTGGAAAGACTGGTTGTTCTCTTGCGTGCTTTGAACAGCAACGAAGAGTGTTCTTGTCCCTCTAATTTTGTTTAATTTCCTACATTTCATTGGGAAGACTGCAATTGGGGATTGTTAGCCATGTGTTAGGAGCTTTGCCTGGTGACAATGTCATAAGTAGTGGTCACTCCAAAAGCAGGCTCTGCAAATGCTGTATGGGGCTCCTGGGCAGTGATAGTGCAGTCCAGTTAAAAGGGAATTGCAAGCTGCTCAATAGGCTTTGATACAAGGAGAATGGACTCAGGTGTCATAAATCCTCTGAGATTGCTCCAGGTGAAGTTTATTACTGAGAAGGACAACTAAGAAAAACTACTTGAAAGTCTGTCTTTGTGGCATGGGTCTTAATACTAGTTGGCTTTTTCTCTGTGCTAGAAAGAAGACAAGCAAGTATTTTCTTGTGGTGACATTGAGCTATTTTCAGCATTTCTAAAGGCTTCTCTTTTTTATGTATGAGTATAAACAGGTGCTTGTTTGGTCTCTTCTATCATAACAGATTTTTAAGATTTAGAAATCACCACATTATTTTTTAATTTTTTTTGGTTTGGTTTGGTTTGTTTAGTGTAATGTCCTCTGCGCTACTAGCACATAATTTCTAGAATATGAAGAGCTTCTCCCATTTGGGATCAGTACTTGCCTTTCTTACCTATTGAAAGAGATGCGTGCTGCCTCAGAAATTTGCCCACTCACAGAGGTCAATGCACAACATCCATTCTGAATTCCAGATTAACCCTGAATGCCGTGGTTGAATTCCGGTGGACCTGATGGGAGTTTGTTGAGGCAAGGGTCCACTGCCAACCGTACGTCAGCTGCTGTTATAGGCAAACCAGGGTGAAATTCTACCATCTTCATCACCAAATACTTCATCTGACCAATGCAAAACAGCTTAGGGCATGTGCTGCCATACAGTTTCTTAGCAGCCAGTGACACTGTGTGGTTCTACAAAGAGAGCATGTACAGGAAGGACAGGATAATCCAGTCAGAGTAGAGGTTGGGGAAGAATTTGAGATTTCTTAGCTCAAGGCATGAACGAAGGTTATGGTAGAGCAACAGTAGAAACTATCCCTGTGAGCAAGGACACATTTTGTAGGGTTTCTGTAGGTCTGGAATGATCTGGAAGAGGTCTGTAGACAAGGCATGGGGCAAGGACACAGCCTGCTGAACTGCACCAATGGCAGCCTCCTCCCCAGCCTGTATTCTCCAGATGCAGCTGCACCTGAACTCACCTACCTGAGGAAGATAGGTGGAAAGCAAAGGACAGCAAGCGAGTGCAGATCCTAAGTAACATTAACAAGAGAAGGGATGAGAGCTGTGTTTGACTGTGGATAAGCTCAACCAAGTCTCCCCAGATGACAGAATACAGAACAGGAGACACTGAAGGAACCCTGAGAGGCCAGGAGAAAGTACTGGTTAGGAAACCACTGAGAAATAAGTCTCTGGAGAGCACGGGGATATTCAAAGCAGCAGAGAAAGCAGAAATGGGCCGACCCACCTCCTTTGAGGAGGTGCTTGAAAGGGAGGCAAAAGACAAGGCGGGGTGACACAGGGCAGAGCAGAAGGAGGCTGCAAGGCAGCACTATCTCAGGAAATGCAGAGGTCTTCTAGGAAGACAGCTACCTACAGCTTTCTGTTCCTCCAACTGCTCCTCTCTGACAGGACAGGGAAACATGATGCTACAAACTTTCCCTAGTCACCAATCATGGCGCAAATTCTATAGCTCAGGTTGGTGGCATGTGTTTGTGCTTGATGGGCAGTGGCAGGGCTCTCACCAGAAGAGCTGAGCTTTGCAGCACAGCACCATCAGCTTCTTCATTCTGCCTACCCAGCTGTCCCCAGGTTTGACTATGTACAGGAAATTATGGAGAGTTCAGTTGGAGGAGGCTGCAGAGCCATCCTTCCATGCTGACTTCCTGGAGGCAGGAAAACCCAGGTTACTAAGGGTGGAGGCAACTTTGGAAAGGTCCGTTGCACAATGCTCCTGCTGGCACAGAGAAGTGCCGTTTGCTGACGTTCCCAAGTCAGCACAACCCCCTGCCTGCTACCTGCTAGTTTTCCTAGTCGACAGTAGACACAGAGCTGACTGAAACCAGCGGAGCTGGACAGACTTTCTGTGCGTGCTGGTGCTCCAGTCTGCTATACAGGGGCTGAGCCAAGCCTCGCCAGCAAAGCTAGAGTCTTTCCACCACTTTCCTGATCCATACTTGGACATAGTTAAGGTAGTTTCTGAAAGCCCCGTGTTGAAACAAGCAGTGCTTTTTAGATTACAGAGTTTTCAGTTAAGTAAAGCATCTGGGAAGCATTTCTACTCACCTGCCTGCTTGGGTGATTCTTAACCAGGTGTCGAAAAGGTGTCTCTCCACAGTTTTATCCATGCTGACCATCTTGCATGCCAGTGACAGGGGTCAGTGACAGACAGTCACGAGGTGCAGGGGCATCATTCAAACCCCTTTTTGCTTACCTCAATTTTCCATGAACCTCCTCCAGATACTAGAGCTGGTGGCTTCATCTCTAGGAATTCAAGAGTCTGTGCAGAATCATAGAGTGGTGTGAGTTGGCAAGGACCTTAAAGAGCATCTAGTCCAACCACTCTGCCACGGGCAGGGACATCTTTCACTTGATCCAGTTGCTCTGAGACCTGGTGAGGCAACCCCCATAGCGCCGTGTCCAGTTCTGGGCTGCCCAGTGCACTAGAGAAGTGGACATACTGGAGCAAGTGCTGCGAAGGGCCACGAAGATGACGAAGGGACTGGACAAACAATCCTGGGAGGCTGAGGGTGGCTCTACTCATGGTGGGAACCTCCAGATTCCTGGGGCCTGGCAGCTCCCATGGTCACGGAGAGGCTCTGAATGGAGAGGCGTCCCCAGATGAGGAGGCTGCTTTATGGCCTGGGTGATGCCACCATGGATTGGGGGAGGTCCCTTGCAGGGTCCCTCCACGATGCGAGCTCTGCCAGGAAAGAGGGAAGCCAAGAGAGGGTTCAAGGCTTTTATTAGCAAACCCCTGAAGTTGAAGGGACCCCAAAACTGCCTATGTGCCTGAGGGCAAGTGCCCCGCGGGCAGGAATGGAGAGACCCAGCAGGTAAGGCACTGGCAGGCTGGGCACAGATCTCCTCCTGGGGGTCACGGTGGGGTCTGGGGGAAGCCCATTGTCTGGGAGACCCCTGCACACTCCCACTCCAACGTCCCTGGCCCCTGGTGCCCCAGCTGCCCCCAGTGCCTCCCAAGTCCTCTGCTGTCCCCACAGTACCCTCCAGCTCCGCCCTGATGTCCCCCAGCTGCCCCTACCTGCCCCCCAGCACCCCACCACCACCCTCAGCGTTCCCCATGCCCTCTTAATGCTCTCTAGATGCCCTCAAAGCCCCACAGCTGCCCCCCATTCCACTGACGCTCCTCTTCTGCTCTCCCACCCCCCCAATACCCTCACTGCCCCTGCTGTGAGGAGGCTCCAAGGGACTCCTCACCCACACCCTGCAGGGCTGCCCTCCTGAAGAAGGTGGAGACTTTCACATCCTTGCTGTCCAGGAGAAGGTTTTCCAGCTTCAAGTCCCCGCAGGAGAGAGGCAGAATGTGCTGGGGGCAAGCGGGGGCAGATGGCAGCTGTGGAGAGGGGCAGGTCAGGGGCCGAGGGAGCTGTGGGTAGAGGAAGGGCTGGGGGCTCCTCTGGGAAGAGGAGGGCTCGGACTGGGAGCTGTGGGGCAGGTGGCCGGGTGGAGAGATCGTAGGTAAGGGTGCGGCGTGGAGATGTGGAGGCAGAAGCTTCCAGGAGGCCCTTCCTTGGCTAGGCTGGGGGGAATGATCCTCCAGGAAGAACGGCTGGGACCCCACAGAGCCCTCGCTGCCTCGGGGAGCTCTGTCTTTAGCTGCCAGAGCGGGGACCCTGCGAGAACCAGAGCCCTGCCTGGCCCTGGGAGCAGGGCCCCTGGACTCTGCACCCGCTCCGGGATGCTACCTGAAGGGGCCAGCTCCAGGAGGAGGAGGTAGAAGCCCGTCCTCATCTCCGTGACTTGGTACAACGTGGTGAGGTGCTTGTGGCAGAAGCCCTTCAAGACCTGTGGGCAGCAGGGGCTCGCCGCGGGACAGGCCTGCACCCTTCTTGGCCCCCCCTTTGCCTTTCACCCCCGCGCCCCTTTTGCCCACCAACGCTCCCCTAACACCCGGCAGCTCCCCACAAAGTGCCCACCACAGCTGCCATCCTCCTGGAATTCCCACTGCCAATAGCTCCCTGCCCCACTGAATCCCTGCCCATTGCCCCCCTACCCCACGGATTCCTCTCTTGCCCCTTTGACCCCTCCAATGCCCCTGCCCCACTGAGCCTCCCAGTAGCACCACTGTCCAGGAAGCTCCCCAAAAAGTGCTCCCCTTACCCCACATAGTCCCTGATGCCCCAGGGACCCTCCGATGTCCCCTCTTGCCCCCAGCATTTCATGTTGCTCAGGGGCTCCCACCCCCGCTGCCCCCCTGCCAACGTCCCCTGCTCACCCTGCCTGCACCTGATGGAGCTTCCCGAGGTCTTCCTCTAGCGCCTTCCTTTTGGAGATGACCTTGATGGCCACCTTGTGCCACAGTGGGGGGACTGCAGCTTCATCCGTGTCCCTGTAGGCACTGTGAGCCAGCAGCGGCCCCAGCTGGAAGCCCATCTTCCCCAGCACCAGGATGGTCTTGGGGTTGGAAGGTACCTCCACCATGCCAAGCACAGCTTGGGGGGGGGGGGGGGGGGGGGGCTGTTCCAGCAAGGCTGGGGGAAGCCCAGCTGGAACCAGGAGCCCCTCACAGCCCCCCAGCACCCTTCCTCCACTCCTGCTCAGGGTTCGGACCCCGGTGCAGCTCGTGTCGAAGCCCAGCAAGTGCCGGCAGCAGCCGTCCACCCACCAACGACCCACTGAGGTGGGGTGACAGGGAGGACAGCTGGGAGGGTTGCGAGGAGCAGTGGGCAGGAGTAGATGAGATCCCTCCTCTCCTGCAGCTCTGCAGCAGTAGCTGGCCAGTCGTTTCTGAGAAAGCTCCTCTGAGCCCCTCAGCACCACTGATAACCCACAGCCTAGACCCAGCTTCCCAGTTAGAAGGTCAAATACCTGAGCTGGGCTAGGAGAGCACTTGGAGAGGCAGGAGAGCCGAGATCCCCAACTTGTGCTGCCCAGGCAGCAAGAGGGGACAACAGTCAAGCACTTTCGCTTGAGTGGGGACAACGCACAAGCTGCCTGCCCTGGGCTGAGGACCCCATGCCCTGGAGCCATCACAGTGTGTGTCCCCCCTCCTCTCTTTGTCCTGCACTATCATGGAGCTGGGAGGTGGTCCCCAACTCTGGGTGTGAGGGGGAGCGCTGCCAGCAGCTCGGGGTGGGGGCACGCAGAGCTCACCCGTTGGGGTTTGCTGCAGGGGCTGGACCCTGAGTTGTCCTGGGCTGAGAGGCTGGGCAGGTGGCAGTAACGGGCTTTCTGGTGAAACCTCTTCCAAAGCTCTTGGACAAGCTTAGAAAACTAGTTTTGCTCTTTGCTCCCTGCTCTGGGCAAGCCCGTCCTTCACGACCAAGACTAGGCTGGAAATTGAGACTGGCACAGGGCAGATCTTGCTGCCTGTGTGCTTGCACTGAGCGTGCGGGGCTCCGGCTGGAAAAGTCAGCTGCCGAGCGGCCGAGGCAGCGGGATTGCAACTCCTCTGCTGGCAAGGTTCAGGAAAATTAGGCCTGAACACCAGCTGCTTGGCACTGGGAGGAATTTCAGGGGCCAAAGAGCAGCTTGGTGAAGCTGAGCTCCGCCGGGACCAGCCACCAGCAGAGCCGTGAAGAAAGCCAGTCCCGAACACAGCGCGACAACTCACGCGAGGGAACGGTGATAGCCACAAACTCTTCAAACGAGTGGCTTTTACCTGCCCACGCTGGCACGCTGCCCTGCTCAGAAGCACCCGGATGGTTGTGCCAGTGCTCTGGGCTGGGTCACTCGTGCCTAACACAGGAGAGGGACAACAGCAACCAGGGACAATAGCTCTTCTGGGGAACCTCCCGAGTGCCACTGGCTGTCAAGGTGATGATGACGACGATAAGCATGCTGACAATAAGCTGTTGGACTATCTTTTAGAATAGTCTCAGGGCGTTTATTATTTTTTTACCCCCATGCCACGCCAGGTTTGTTCACCTGATGGCTTTGCAAAGACCGGGCTCCTGCTTTAGCACCTCTGGCACGGCCCAGTGCCCCCCCTTCGCTCCCCACTGGTGTGTGCCTGAGTGGCTGTGTGGGACTGGGCACCCAGTGCAGGTTTCCCAGTAAACAAGCCCACGGCGCACACCGGAATGGCAGCTGTGGGCAGAAGTCAGAGCAAATCCTTACGCCAAGCTTGGCTGAAGCGCGTGGGAGCTCTTCCACCTCTTGCAGCAGGCCAGAAGCCACCGTCTTAGGCGCGCTGGCAGTCACCTTTGGGACCGGCCTTAGACCTTCTGGGCATCACGAGCCTTAACCGGGCGGCCCTTTGCCACCCAGGCCCTGCTCCGTGCAGGCCCACGAGCGGGAGGGCAGCTCGCTCCCCGCCGGCTTTGCTTTTCCCCACATCGAACCATCAGCTCGAAGGCTTTGTTGGAGGAGGTTATTCCCATCAACAAACTGCCTCCCAAAGCCTCACAGCACCAACAAGCACCCCCAAAAGCGGGGCGCAGCCCCCGGGGGCCAGCTCAAGCTTCTTTTTTTTTTTTTTTTTTTTGGGGGGGGGGGGGGGGGGGGGGAGATGCTTTTCCTCCCCAAGCGATGCAGAAAGACCCCCCGCTACTTTTCCTCCCGCGCTCCGCAAGGCATGCGGAGGCAGCGGGGACCCGGGGCTCACACCCTTAGAGCCGCTTGCCCTGGGGCGAGGAACCCCCAAGCCCCCGCGGCCCCGACCCACCCGCGCCCGCGGAACACGGCGGAGGCTTGCCGGCGTTGCCCCCGGAAGACCCCCCTCACGCTAAGCCCCGCCCACCAGGGCGCGGTTTCACCAATGGGAAAAAAAAACCCGCTGCCCTGCGTCAGCGCCGGGCGGCGGCGGCGGCTGTTGCTAGGCAGGATGGCACGGCTGGCCCAATGGGAGCAGGGCGCTGCGGCCGGGCCCGGGCGCAGGCGGCGGCGGCGGCGGCGGCGGCGGCGGCGGGCGCGGAGCGGTTGGGCCGCAGCGCTCACCATGCCCTACAAGCTGAAGAAGGAGAAGGTGCGGCGGGGCGGCAGCTGGGCCGGGGTGCCTCACCGCGCGGGTCCCGGTATAACCGGGACGCCCGCTCCCGCCATGGCCCCCCCCCCCCCCCCCCGTTCCTTTTCCCTCAGCGGCGGCCCCTCGGGCGCGCGCGCGCGCGCGCGGGGGGGGGGCTGCGGCCGGCAGGGGGCGGGGGCGCGCGCGCGCGGGGCGGGCGGGGCGGGTGGTGCAGGAGGGCGGCGGGGGCGCGCGCGGGGCGGGGCGGGGCGTGAGTTGGGGGGTGGGGGGGGGGGGGGGGCGCGCGCAGGTGACGGTTGTTGTTTCCCCTTCCCCTCCCACGCGTGAACCCGGCGTGGGGAGTGGAAAGAGGAAGGAGAGGGGTTGGGGGGGGGGGGGGGGGCTGCGGCCCGCCCTGCGCTGCTCGGGAGGAGGCGGGGGGGGGGTGGCTGTGGGGCACGGCCGTGCTTTCCCAACACCCCCCCGCCACCCACCCACCCACCCGCGATGCCCCCGGTGGGGGAGGTACGGCCCCACCCGTGTCCCGGCCCCGCTGCGGGGCTGCCGGTGGTTCCGCCGCCCGTGCTCGGGGCGGGTGGGCCGGGCCGTGCCCGCCGGGGCTGGGGGTGCCCAGCGCCCGGGCGCTCCGGTGGGCAGTGGGGGGGGGGCCCGTGGCCGCGTGGAAAGCGGGCCCACGCTGCGTGGGAGCATAGCCCTGTCACCCGGAGGTGCCAGGCTTGGGCCTGTGCCCCCCTCCCTGCGGAGAAGGGCACCCTGAACGACTCCCCTGGAAGTAGATGAGTTGGGGGGGGGGGGGGGGCACAGGCTGGCCGTGGGGGTGGGTCTGTGGTCGTTCACAGCCGAACTCTGCAAAGAGAGATGCTAAAATTCTGCACAAGGTGAAATTTTATCTCTGACCGTCTGTTCGTCGTTTCAGGAATCTCCGAAGTCTACCAAAAACACCACAAAGCCCGGCAGCAGCAGTAGCGGGAAGGATGGTGGGGCAGAGAATTCGGAAGAGGTAAGGCTTTCACCTTGGATACAGCAGTGTGTGTGAGCAACTCATCCTTGAGTAGGAATAACATCTTTCATTCTAGCTACTTCAAGCTGCTCTGCCAGAGATGTCACTGGGATCTTAAGGAATCAGAGAAGACAGTAGCAAAGACTAAAGTTAAGGTGAGGTTAGCTCCCCTTGAAAGTTAGCCCAAAGGGAACGATGACTGTGGAAGAGACAGGATGAGTCTCGTACCCTACAGCCCTGCAAAAAGAGATTTGGCATGAAGCTGATGGCGAGGGCTCCTCACAGAGGTGGGCAGAGCATAAAGTTGGCTGCAGAGAGGGAAGAGCCACGGTTATCGAGGAGGAGATCTGACAGATGGGAGCAGCTTCCTTGCCCCTGTCTGAGCAAAGCGCAGTAAACTCAGTTGTCACCTTGTGTCAGGGTGGGAGAGTCGTGAGAAGCAATAGAAGAGGAACGTGTTCTTCTGAGGGATTTTGTGGGGAAATGAGATTAGAAAGTAATGGATAGGATGCCTGAAAGAAGAGAGGTGAACTTCTAGAGATTAAATGGTTCTCCTTTGGTATAACAGCCTTTTTGCTGAACACAACTTTACTCACAAGAAGACGCAGTCTGTATTCCCAGATGTGCACAGGCTCTTTCACTCGATTTTGATGTTGCCAAGCTAGATGTGTTAGAGTGGCCTCCGCAGATGTGATAGGATATGCTTTGCTTAGAATAAGGAAAAATTTGGGTAAACGGGAACTTTTTTGGTAGGCTTGAGTTTATCCAGCACTCAGACAGTGTGGTTGTGGATTTCTGAGAGCACTGTATGTGTGTCTGAGGAGGCATGTATATGTGTGGCTTATTTTTTTTAATACTGCAGTTTGGCAAACAAGCTGTGCCACTTCTATGTCCATAGAAGCCTGTGTGCTCCAGTCTTACCTGGTTGCACTTGTAATTTGGAGGATTTGGGATAGGAGACATGTAAGTCTAGTGAAGACTAGGAAGAAATCTGTGGTTCAGTGGGATGGTCATAGTCAAAATAAGGTTATTTTTAGAGTCTCCTTCAAAGCATAGATCTGTGTTGCGGAGCCTCAGAAAATATCGCTGTTACTAGCCACCGGGTTTCAGGCTCCAAGCTGTGCTCATGCCTAACCTGCCGTGTGGCCAGCAAGAAATCAGAAGCAGAGTTTGTTTGCCTTGGAGCACATAGCAGTTTTGTAGGTCCTCTTCTTTATCCCATTCTGGTCTTGGCCTTTGCCCATTTTATTTTGCGTATACAGCTGAAACCAGCTTTCTGGGAGAGCTGTCTGCCAACTCCAAGGAAGTGAGAGAAGCCCTGCCTTGGCATCCTGGGGTCAGGTTTATGTTTTATTTATGGGGCACTATTTGTCTGCTGAGTTCACAGATCTGGGAAGAGGAAGGAAAGCCTGAGTCTTGCGATGCAAGGGTGATGGATAGCCGTCAAAGCAGAGCACTCGGATGTCCCCCTCCAGTTCAGCAGTGGGCTGTGGCTCTGCTTTTCTGGTTACAAGTGGGGTGGTAAGAAAGGAAGAATAGTGCAGGCTACAAGCTTCCTTCCGTGACCTGAAACAGCATGTAATGTCTGGTTGTGCCTGGGTGCAGAAGAAATTTAGAAGTGATGCGTCTAACCTTCCCTCCCACAAAACATACCCAGCCACTTCCTCATACTCCAAACAAAATCCAGCCCTTATTTAAGATTGGGTCTCCTTGATCTTTAAGATTGGTTGGGTCTCCTTTGATCATAGGAACAGAGAGCAGAGCAGAAAGGAGACACCTTTGCAGTGTGCGCTGCCACAGGTCTCTTCTCCCTTTCCTTGCTGAGTTTGCAGTGAAGTTTGTTCTCTCTTGGTGCTGTCCCGTCTCCGTATTGCTCTGCTGCAGAATGGAAGAGAGCTCTTTGCTCGATAAGAAGAAATGTATACAAGTTTGAATGCGATTTTCCTGCTCTTCAGGAAGCACAGAAAGGTATTTTGACTTTCACATTGGGGGACTGTGAGGAATTAGGTAATGTCTGCTGGGAGGGAGACTCCTTCCTCGCGTCAGAGGCAGGAGGTGGTTTGGCTGGTGGGGTCGATGGGCTGAGCCTAGCCTGGATGCTTCTGCTGCCATTGTGAGAGTTTTGTGTCCTGTAAATTCCTCCGTGGAGTTGTGGCTGGTTGGTTGCCTTTTCTAGGGTGAAAGTTGTGTGCACCAAAGAGAATTTTCTTTTTGTTTCATATCTCAGCAGATGCTTAATGGGCTTACAGCAGGAGAGTGGCGTTTGGGTAACCCCCTTCCAGTACGCACTTTCCTCCAAGGAGCAGGGCACGACTCAGCCCTAATTTATCCTGGTGCCAGAAAGTTGTGACTTGTACTGCAGGCAAGTTGTCTGGCTGGTGGGATGAGTAAACCTTGTTGAAGAGCAGCTCTGGTTTGACAGATCTAAGCAATGGCAGCGGATGAGGACTTCCCATGGGGGTGTCAGTGGAGGGAGATGGAGAGGGTAGGAGCCAATCCAGAAACCCTTAAACGTAGTGCTTTGTTCTCTGCACCAAAGGAGCTTTCAGTGGAGCTGATCTGGAAGTGCAGATATATTCAAAAGCAGATGCATCCCCACAAGGGAAAGGCAAGTGTTTGAGTTCCCTGGAAGTACAGGGGTAGTGCAGTGCTGTTTTAGATGCCCGTTTCAGGGTGAAGCTGTCTGAGGTGAAGAGCCAGCCAAACTTGGCCAGTCCCTGGATTGGGGCGGGGGGGGGGGAGGGCAGTTTGCTCAAGAAGAGACAGAAGCAGTGGAGGAAAACACAAGAGCAGAGAGTGGGAAATAAAAGGTTTGTTTAGTTCGTTCCCTCTGGAATGTGGTGAAGATATGAATGGAGAGAATTTCTGCATGGTTATTTAAGGAGAAAAATGAAATAATGTCAGAGGCCAAGGCAGCGTTGAATGAGAGGATAAGAAAGAGTTACTCCTCTTGGCCAGAAAGACTGGGAGAGGCAGCTGGGTGGGGAAGAGAGTTAATGACCTGGAAGTGGGAGCAGGGATTAGCGGCAGCAGTAAAAGAGAGGAGTTGCTCTGCAGCCTTAAGGGCAGCTTGGAGCCTCGCTGATGAGATTTGCAGCTCTGGGAGAGGGTGCTCCTTTTCACTGAGCTGCTGTATTACGTGTTTTGCAGATATCTCCATGGGGCTTGTTACTGCAGTACCTGGAGTTCATTATTCAGAGACAGGCGTTACAGTGTGTTGATGTTACTTCTGAGGCAGAGAGCTTGATTTTAATAGGGAAGCTGTGTGACAGCAGACAAAGAGAGCAGGTACTGACTTGAGGGATGGGAAGGGAAGAGTCATCTGAGAAGGAGGAGCTGAGAGCAGATCTGGGCTGAGAAGCTTAGCAAGCAGGGGATGCTCAAGGGACCAGCGAGGCAGAAGGGCTTTCCAAGTGGCGATGCACCCAGCTGCGGTAGGAGTGCCTGCAGAGGTGAGGTCATGCATGGATAGGAGGGCGGAGGAGAAGCTGGCACAGCTCAAGGTGGCTGGGGGAAGAGGGTTTCTGTCCCTGGGAGCCTGGGGTGAAGAGAAATGGCACAGAGCAAGCCCAGAGCCTGGGGCTCGTTGACTTGTGCAGGCAAGTTCCACGCGAGGAGGAGAGGTGGTGGGAACCGGTAGGGAGGAAGTGCTACGAAGCCAGGGAGCCTGTGCTCGGAGTTCAAATGTGGTTGCAGTCGGGGCTGGCCCACCCTGTTGGCACCAGTAGCCTCTCCACCACCGTGGGAAAGGTGGGATTGCCACACTGTGCTTGGGTGAACGGCTTTGTGCCGTTCTCCAGTCACTTCAGCCCGTGCAGCTTAACAGCCACTGGCAAACAGAGTCTCCCAGGCCCCCGGCTTTGCCGTGGTGGTGTGAGCCCTGTCTGTCAGGAGGCGGCTGAGCCTGGGCAGGTAGATGTGTGCCTGCAGCCATGTAGTGGTCAGCTGGTGTTGGTAGCGGGGAAACAGCCTGTGAGGTTGATACCTGTGCGTTAAGAGAAAAGCTTTCAGTTTTAGCAGTCCGCTGTGTTTTCAGGGATGGAGACTTCCGAGAAGAAAGTGTTAGGAAACTTAAAACTAGCCTCTTCTGATTCATGGGGCTGAGGTGTTGAAGGCAGAAGGACAGCAGGCCTGTCACGGGGAGCACTACCTGCAAGCAAGCGTTCAGCTTGATTCCAGAAAGTCCATATAGAAGCAATCCGTCCTAAAACCCTCTGAGCACTGCAGTGCAAGAGTGTATTAGACCTCCCCCATCATTGGATTTTCTCTAGCAAACTCAGTTGTATGATTTTTGCATGCGTATGTCTGTTCCTTAAATAACCAGCAGCTAAACCTGAAGCTGTGTTTTGTCACTCTTCGTGCCAGCTGTTGAAGACGGTGGCAGCTGGTAGAAAGGACTTTCCCAGGCCCCTGATGAAGGCAGTGTGGGCACAGCCTGCTAGCGTGCCTTACACACACACCATGCTCAGAACATTTGCCCGTGGCATATCTGAGTGGGTGGGGAGCACACAGGCATGTCCAGTCAGCTAAGAGGACCCCTGTGTCCTGCTTCCCTCTGTTACCTGTGTGGCCGCCGATGCATCTTTTGTTTCTCTCTGTACCATCTTTTGTCCGCAGTGGCTCAGCATTCAGGCTTTGCCCTTGTTCCCTGTGGAAGGAGAGTGATGCAGAATAGAGTACTAGCCTTCTCAAAAGCATCTGGACAACATCTGAGTGGCTCACGCTGCCCTGATATCCAAATATTGAGGGTGAGGAATCAACTTCTCACTCTCGGAAGGTTGCCAGCAAAGGTTCAGCCTGACTTAACTGAGGAGAGACCACTGTTCAGGATACATTGCCTCCAATTTGTAGTTTGGGCCTGCTTTGTCTGGCAAGTACTGCTGTTTTCATCACAAGCTCATCTTTCTCCCTCCTCTCGTCATGGGACAGTGCTGCTCCATGAAAGAAATCAGATCAAACCTAAACTGAAGAGAGTTCCAATTCCTGTCTCCCCCCACCTTGTTTTGGAGCCAAGCTTGAAACAGACCCACTTAGGTTTTCCTTCAGGCAGAACCAGACCAGAGCCAAAATATTCCTGGTTCGGAGTAATGGCTTGACAAAACAATTGGTGTTTCATGTTGGGCGCTGTTTTTCCCGGGGAGTCTTTGCACTTGCTCTACTGATCGTAATCTGTAGAGCAGTGTCACCTTGGAGGCAGCTTTATCTATTCCTACCTTGCTGCCTCCCCGCGTGCTGCAGGTGCAGTAATTCTTGCTCTTGTACTGTGGTGCTGTGCTGCGCGTCTTTAGAAGCCACCAGGGCTCAGTTCAGGGTGAGGACTGCGCAGGGTCAGCTGCAGCTCAGCTGCTCCTCACAGGAAGAGACCGGCTACATCTCATTTGGAGGAGAGCTCTGATGTGCTTCTGCACTGCTGGTGCTTTCCCTCAAAATCCTACTGGTCGGTGTTCCGGGGAGGTGTGTGTTTGTCCTGCTATGCTGTATGTGGCACCTGGAATTTATGGGGAAAGGAGGTGGGGACATCCAACCTGCTTGCTATCCATTGTGCTATCCCTGTTGTGTCCTAAACAGGTTCACCCTGCAGCTCTTTGGCTTCATGTGCCTGCGGGAAGGAGATGGCAGAGCTGAGGAAGGGAGCGTTGCTGGGCTCAAGCAGCAGAACCAGAGTAGGCTGAGTGCTGCCTCCGGCTGAGCCCTCTGCCACAGGCTTGCTGGTGGGATGTTGCCCACTTCTGCCTTAAGTTTCCCGTGCGTTGGATCGGTGTGGTGTTAAAGGGTCAGTTATTGAGCCCCGAGTGGGACTTGAACCAGCACAGCTTCAGCAATGTCAGAACAGAGCTGAGCTGAGCAAACACTGGCTTGAGCTTCTGGTCAGCTGCTAAAAATAAGAAAGTGCCTCTGTAAGTGCTGTTTAACGAGCGTGAAGTGGAGAGGATGTCTGCTGGAGGAAAGTGCAGGCAAAGAGTTTGTGTGGCTAAAAGGGGTGATGTGGAAAAAGCAAATCGACAGAAGTCCAAACAGCAGTGAGGCTGAGACAAGGTGGAGATGGGAGGAGTAACCAGGATGGGTTGGTTAAGCCCACAGCCTGCTCCCTGAGGTTTGGGCATGGCCTGTGTAGTCGATAGAGTAGCAACTCTTGGTCTATGCCTGCAGCAATGATTTTAGTGGTCCTCACTATTGCCTTTCCAGGGCCATCGTGTCTGCTCTGTACTACACGCTGCTTTGCTTTTTCCCAGGTGGTTCCCTGCACAAGGGTAAGAAAGAGCAACTTGCTAGTTTCAGAACTTGCTTGCTGTGTTGTACAGCGTGCTGTAATCGGATGCAGTGGCACAGTGGGATTTTTATTTGGACCACGGAAAGTTCTTATTGTTGCTTTTCTCTGTCAGCAAACTCCTGTAACTTGTTGTGAGACATGGCTTTTCTTTCCACACCCCTAGCACTTGCTGCGCTCAGAGTCTCTGGTGTCTTTGCAGTACGTCACCGATATGAGAAAAACTGATGTTCACTTTGCAGGTATGCTGCAAATGCAACCAGCAGCCCTGCAGGAGTGGGTGAGATGCACTGAATTGCAACTGCAACAGTGGAAAAATGGGTCTGGTTTCTTCAGTTCAAGAAGATGCTGGCAGTATCTGATTGCTTGTGAGGTAAAAAGCTTATGAGTTGTTTTACGCTTTTCTCCCTCATCAGGCCCAGCAGCCTCAGCAGCAGCCACAGCAGCAGCAGACAACTGCAAATAAGCGACCCAGTAACAGCGCTCCCCCACCAACCCAGCTGAATAAGATTAAGTACTCAGGGGGACCCCAGATTGTGAAGAAGGAGCGCCGGCACAGCTCTTCTCGCTTCAATCTGAGCAAAAACCGGGAACTGCAAAAGCTTCCAGCCCTTAAAGGTAAAGAAGCTCTGGAGTGAGGGTGACCTTCATGACAAGTGACTTCTCCAGGCAGCGTGTGGTGCTGTAAGGGCTCTTCCCAAAGCAGCCCTGGCCGAGTCCTGCTGGCCTCCTGCTGGCAGGTGCAGCAGCCGTGGCTCCAGGAAAGGTGCTTGGCTTGGCAGCAGGTTGAGAACTGATAGCTAGCCTAAAAGAAAAGGAAGGTACTCAATGTGAACTTCAGTACTTACCTTCCCATTTGAAGTGATGTAAACCCTCGTGCTTATATGTACTTAGGATTGCCTCAGATTCTTCAGCAGTTTGTGCCAGAAGGTGGTGAAGTGCACAGACCTTGGTGCAGACTGCTCGGGGTTCCTACAGCCACCTGTTCCTGGGAGAGGTCCAGGCCTCCTCCTCCTCCTCCTTGTGTTTCCATTGCAAATTATGGTAGTGCTATTGAACTTGTCCACATTAGAGCAATTACCAAGCATGAGCAGTTAGTCTACATAATGGTACAATTAAACATGACTTAAGTGTGGACAAGGAGAGAGCATTTTCAGCAGTCACTCAGCCAGGCCTGTTGCTGACATTGCTCACAGAAACAGGCAGCCCTTTTAGGAAGGGCAACTGCCTTGCAGCTCAGCAGCTGTTCTGCAAGCGAGAGGTAAGTTTGCCTGATCGGCCTCAGCAGCGCGTGGTTTCCAGTGGCGACATATCAAAAAGAGAATGCTGTTAATACAGGCTTTCTGCCACCTTGGCCCCTCTCTTCTGGGCTGCTTTGGGGGAGGGGGGTTAGCCTACAGTGTGTTCTGCCCAGCTGCCTTTGTGACTGTGGGGCGCGGGGCGTGGGTGTCACTGGTCTGTGATGGGAGCTAGTCGGGCTCCTTTTCCAGTGTACCTTGTACCGGGAAGAGATCAGTGCTTATCAGATCAGAAATGGATACCATGTTTGAAATCACCTTGTGGGATAGTTACCTTTCAGTCCCTCTGCCTCCACTGTCCTGTCTCCGTAGCAGGGCTAACACCGCCTTTCCCTCTTGCCCTGCCAGCTCAGGGGGGACTGTGATGGGGAAGGGGGAATGCGGGACGGGGAGCAAACCACGCTGATACCTGGACAAGCCAGGGAGATGTTCTGCCTATCTCCACGGTCAGATGCCCCTGCTTTCTCTGACAGATGCTCCTCCACACGAACGAGAAGAGCTTTTCATCCAGAAGCTGCGGCAGTGCTGCGTGCTTTTTGACTTCATCTCTGACCCCCTCAGTGACCTGAAGTTCAAGGAGGTGAAGCGAGCAGGTCTCAACGAAATGGTGGAATACATCACGCACAACCGTGATGTTGTCACTGAGGCTATCTATCCTGAAGCTGTCATCATGGTAGGGCATGGGGACAGTGCATGCTTGTGTACCAAAGAAATAGGGACTTTTCTAAAGCGAGGAGGGGAGAGGGGTTTGTCAAAGAGGAGCGTGACCCAGAAGCTGGGTTCGGTGACAGTGCCTGGTGTAGGAAGAGGTGGAAGCTCTTGTCTCTGGCACAGACTCCACTTGTAGAGTTTATAGCCGGCTGTAGCCCTACAGCCTCCAGGGAGGGACCTGTTTGTAGGCACAGCTGTGGGAAATCACAGTGCGTTGCTCCGCAGCGAAGGATTTGCTGTGGGGAGGACTGTTGTAAGGTGCAGGGTTGCAATTCATACACCTTTTCGCTCCCATCAGTTTTCAGTGAACCTCTTCCGGACGCTCCCGCCGTCCTCCAATCCCACAGGCGCGGAGTTTGACCCCGAGGAAGATGAGCCTACATTAGAGGCTGCCTGGCCGCACCTTCAGGTGAGGAGGAGGAGGAGGAGGAGGGGGAATATATATCTGGCAGATTTATCTCCAGAAAGCCAAGAGTCTGTGTAGTGCTGGAGCCTGCCAGCCTGGCCGCTGGCTGCTTCCCCAGCCTGTGAGGGTTGCTGGTAGGGGGACAGGGAGAGGCCAGGCCTGCCATCCGTGGGTCAGAGGTGGTTGGCAGGCAGCAGGGCTGTCCTGGAAACGGACTGATGGTTGTGTGCAACACTCACCTGCAGATGGCTGTAGTCCCACGAAGCCCTGAGGTAGGTTGGGAGTGAACACTTCGCTGGGAGTTGAGGGAGTTGTGCTGTTTTGCCAGTGTAAGAAGCAATTCCCAGCAGTGTTCGTGTCTCAAAGGCTCAGGAGCCCTCATCCCCTGGGCTTCAGCAGCGTTGGAGGCAGCACCCCTGTCTGCCTCAGCACTCTTGCCCAGCTCCCTGGGAGGCACATGGGGGAAAAGGACTGCGTGGTGCCAAAGCAAAGCCTGTGCTGGCACCTGCTAACATGTCTCTTGTATGCTGGATGTAATTCAGCTGTGTTAACTGGGAGCAAATATTTGACCAGAAAAGATAGGGAACTGGAGTGGAGGGAGAGGGGGAGGGAGCCAAGGATCTTTTAATTAGACTGTGTGTCCTGGGAAATAGATTTTAAGACAAACTAAGTGAAAAGGGTTATGAAAGCAACAGTGAGCGTGTTTTAGCAGAGCTCAGCAGTGGAAGTCAGGAGGTAAGCTTATGGGGGTCTCCCCAGGCACTTGCACAGGGATGGGCTGTCACACAGACAGAGGCAGAATAAGAGAGCCGGGCGCTGCAGAACGATGCAGAAAATACAGAGAGGAAATAAGGTGCAGTTTTGCAGCAGTGGTTAATCACTTCTCACTGCTGCAGTTGACATAGGGATGTGAGTGTCGGTAGAAGTGGTGTGTCCTCAGCACCAGAGTGCTCTGAGTGCTAGGAAGCATTTGTTTCTCAGAGTTAAGTCAGCAGCAGCCAGCGTGGGTTTCTGGCAAGTGTGTGCTGAGTTTTTTGGTCACCGCCTCAGTTTTTTTCTGTGCTGCTGCCTCTGGCAGCTGGGCCCTTACCTCTGGATGGGTGGCCCCATGGCTCTTTCACCTCCAGAGTCAGACCTCGGGGACGCAGCGCTCTTGTTTGGCCAAGTCGCCCCTCGGAAGCGCTAGGCAGGGTCAGCCCTGGAACGGACTTGTCCCTCTAAGAGGGTCAGAAATTGCTGTTTCAGCACTGACAGCCTTCCTAAAGCAAGCTGCCCTTTGTTGTCCAAGTGGGACACAGCACGCAGCTTGCATGGCTTAGTGGGGCTGAGCCAATCTGGAGTCGGTCCCCAGGAGGCAGAGGACACGACGTGTTTTTCTGGGGTCCGTTTCATTTCTCTGCTTTTCTGCTCTTTGGTGTGTCGCAAGGGCTTCTAATGAAGCCTGAGCCTTTGCAACCTCCTCTGGAGGTTTTTGTTCCCTGTAGAGATGCGAGCTGAAGGTGAGAGAAGATTTTACCAGGTCTAGTATCGTCATCTGGGTTGGTGGCTGTTGTCTTTCGTGGGAGCTGAGGTGATGAGATCTCATGCAGATTTGGGCAGCTATCTGCCACCGGCCCCCTGCCCATCAGAGCAAGGGCAGCTGAATTGATCACACTGAGTGGGGAAGCACAGGTTGCTGTGTTTTCTGTGCTCCCATTCAGGCTTCCCAACCTTTCCCCAAATCCTGAAGGAGAAGGGAAACATTTAAAATCCAAAGTAAACACTGGTGAGAGGACGGGGGCGTTTCTAAGTGATCTCTCCTTCTCCCCCCATAGCTGGTGTATGAGTTCTTCCTCCGGTTCCTGGAATCGCCTGACTTTCAACCAAACGTAGCCAAGAAATACATTGACCAGAAGTTTGTGCTGTCTGTAAGTAATCGTTCTCCCTCCCACTGTGCACCACCTTTATGGAGGACATGCAGCAGATTTTGGTGAAGGTGTTATGCAAACAGCTCAGCTTTGTCAGCGGGTGCTTGATGGTGTGGGCTTTCTTTTTTCCTTTGTCTTGAATGAGCAGAATTCTTTGCAGGGCAAGAGTGTGCGTAAGCTGTAGTCCGTGGAACTCTCCACTCATTGTACAGGTGGAGATGTGCACCGGGAGCCTTGCAGGGGAAAGCCAGGGACATGCAGCTTTGTAGAGCATGCAGGCCATCACTGTGCTTCCAAAAACGAAAGAAGTGCTGATGGTTCCAGCTTGTGACTAGGAAGCTGCATGTTTCAGGGACGTGACTGCTGTGCTCGGGGTGCTGAAGGCATCACTCAACTGAAAGAGCCACTTCTGCTGAGCAGGAGCGGTGCCCGGCGTTGCTGGTAGCTTTGTCCAGACAGGCAGTATGCAGACACTGACTGAATTTCTCTCCCCACAGCTGCTGGATCTCTTTGACAGTGAAGACCCCAGAGAACGAGACTTCCTAAAAACTATTCTACACAGGATCTACGGGAAGTTCCTGGGTCTGCGAGCATACGTGAGGCGGCAAATCAACAATATATTTTACAGGTGAGATGTTTCTTAGTGCCACTGGCTTAGTGAGTGAGTGGGACAATCCAGTGAGATAAATTTGGGGCACTAGACTCTGGTTGTCTCTGATCCAGACTGTGATGAGCTAAGTGACTCCGTTATGTCACACTGCTTTGGGAGGGATAGCATTCATCTCTGCTTAGGAGCAGTGAGGATGTGATAACACTATCTTCAGTGCACACAGCAAATGTTGGGACCTGTAAGCTTTAGCTGATCTGGGGGCCACGAATTTATTTGCTTCTATCTCTTACACCTTGCCCTGTTGTCCTGGAGTTCTGTTATTTGCTAGGAAACTCCCTGTCTCCACTGTTTTTCCTTCCTTTTGCTTATCAAACTGTATCCAGCATTTGGCAACCACCTCTCATTCTTCACTTCTCTTTAGGTTCATCTATGAGACAGAGCATCACAATGGGATTGCAGAACTGCTGGAGATCCTGGGAAGGTAAGGGCACTTTTGGAAGTCCCAGAGGGCCCATAGTGAGGGAAACCTCCCAGTCCAGCATGCTGTGTGAGCTGACAGTGCCTGCCTTCAGCAGTTCTTGCAGTAGCCACCTCTTCCAGAGGATCTCGGTCTGACAAAGCACATGGTGAAAATACTCTTCAGCCTGCCGATAGATGCAGTGGTAGCCTTCTCCTCCCCAGATTTATCTCCTGTTGGAATCCAGTCACACTTGCTGTCTTGCCTCAGCAGGCAGTAAAAGAGAAGTTTCTCACAGACCTGAGAAGCCTTAGCAGTGGGCAGCCTTCTCTTATGCCACCATCCTCCTGTTCTGTAAAGTACAAGCTTTGAGGACTGGGCTGCCTCTGTGCTGGACCACACTTCTGGTGGGTGTTTTCTGAAGTGACTAATAGGAGCTAGGGCAAGCCCCTGATTCTTTTGAGGTGAGAGATACTGTATTTCTGTTGGGTAAAGATGTTAACAAGACTCTTGTTTCCTCTCAGTATAATCAATGGGTTTGCTTTGCCTCTGAAGGAAGAGCACAAGATGTTCCTCATCAGAGTCTTGTTACCACTGCACAAGGTGAAGTCTCTCAGTGTCTACCACCCACAGGTGAGAACTGCTTCCAGTTCCCAGGGCAGGATGTGGTTCTTGCCAAAGCTGTTGTTCGGGCTTGCTTCTAGCTGTTCACTGGGATGCATTACTGTGTTGGACAAAGTTCTTGCTGTGAGATGTTTTGGGCTCTGCACTAGTCCCCTACTGCGGTGGTTTTTCCCAGCCTCGTGGTGCCTGGGCTTGCATGTATGCATCTGTGCTTTTTGCCACTGGCTGATAGGAGGCTATCCTGTTATTTCCTGCTGACTTAATGCTGTGGCCAGCCTGCTTTGCCTCGCTGTGCTGGAAGTGTGTGAAATATTGGGGCCCTGCTGAAACCAGAGAGGTAAAATCCCGAGCTGCTGTCATCAGCCTGCGCGTGTGGTGTGTCAGCTGTTAGTCACTGCTGAGATATGCAGAGAAATCAGTGTGCTAGGTGGTACGGAGATGAATTTCTTTCAATTTAGAGCACATAATAAAAGAGTAGAGAAAATTAGGACTCAGGCTAGGAAGTGAAAAATTATGGGTACTGAGTGGTGATGTCTGTTCTCCTAGTCTTGTTTTTATGGGGCAGGGCTTTGCAACAGTCAGGTTTGTTCCTTCCCACGTGTGCAGCTGTGCTTGCATTTGAATGTATTAGCTGTGGACTGCTCTAGGTGGCTCAAGTTTTATCCTTTATGATGCATGAACAGCCTGAGCTCAGGCCCTGCCTGCTTGGTCTTAGAGCCTTCACTTGCCATCAGAAGAACTGGATTCATTTGGAGCTGCAACTGTCTGCTCATCACACACTTTGTGGAAGGCATAGTGTGACTTCCAGCCTAGGGTGGTGGTGGCACTTCATTCTCAGGTACACTTGAGGAAGCTCTAATCTTGCCGTGTTGTTTTTTTTCTTTTTTTCCTACAGTTGGCATACTGCGTTGTTCAGTTCTTGGAGAAAGACAGCAGCTTGACAGAGCCCGTGAGTAACCTTGCTTAACCTCTGTGTGTCAGTCAAGTCCCAAAAAGCTTCATGGTTTCCTTAGAGTACAGCAAGGGTGAAAAAAACGCTAAAGAGTCTGGGAGTCAACTGAGTTGTTTACTGGGTTTGCCTGGTACCCTGTGGGCAGAGGGGACTGTGCTGCTCACGTGCAAGCCTTTAGAATTCTCTTCTGAAAGCTTCAGAAGGGTGGGCTGTAGTCAGTCTTTGTGCTTCAGATCTTGGTGTAGCAGAAGGAACACTACAGCAAGCTGTCCTTTCAGGACAGAGCTTTCAGCTGGTGACAGATGCTGCGGAGACAGAACACATGGCCATCTAATATCTGATGGAACCAGCGTGAGCTCATGGGGGCCCTGAAATAGTAAAAGTTCACTCCAGACTGCTGGAGTTGGCTGAAAAACTGTGGGAATGAGGTTAGGAACCTGGGACGCAAAGGTCTACTTAGGCAAGCCACTGTTCTTGATGAAAATATTCTCCTTCCTGCCCTAGCATCAATTTGCCACCTCCACAGTGTTGTCACATGGTGGACGCGTTTGCCTTCAGGATGTAGTGCTGGGAAACAGCAGGTTCCAAAAAGTGTGAGCAGTGTAGATGGGCTCTCACATATTCCAGTTCCTGGGTCCGTAGCCTGGTTAACACTGCGGGTCTGTATGCCGGCTTGGCAAAGGGTGCAAGTAGGAGACAAGTGTTTCTCCACCCACTGCAGGCCAGGAAATGTCTTCTGCAGAGCTGAGCTTTACAGCCTCAAAACAACAGATGGCCAAAGAACGTGTGCTTGTGTCACTGTAGCAGGGAGCACCAGCAAGTGTGAGCATTTTAATGAGCAGTGCTAGCTGAGGTCGTTCTGTTCCCTGGCTGAAATGTGTGCATTGGTGCTGAGCCTGGCTGTGCTTGGTGGAAACTGGTCGGGCTGTTGTCAGCTTTCTGGCTCCTCGGCTCTGACACCAGCAGTGCTGAAGCAGACCTCCCAGCTTTTCCTTTAAATGTGGGTCCTCCATTTCCTGTGTTCCCAAAAGCCTGCTCTGAAACAAACTGCATAAAGTAGCTTCCTGATCATGCAGAGCACTTCCTGTGGCTGACAGCCAACCCAACAGCCTCCTGCCAAAGCACTTACTGGAAGGTGAGGGAGAAGAGACAAATGGAAATCTGTCAATATTTCTAGGATTACATTTTGTGGCTTGTTCGAGTAGTAAAGCCCCATAGCTCGTCGCTGCTTCCTGGGCAATGGCTTAGTGACCCCTAGATTACAGACCCAGGTCTGGTTTGGTACTTGTGAAAAGCAGTGGGACGACCCGATTTGGTACCTTCAGTGGGCGTTGCGTTGGGTCTCAACCGGACATACCAAGGCCATATTGACACAGGTTGTGTCCTGTTGAAGCATCCTGCTTGTGAAGGTTTTGAATAGGCTCCCGAGATGACTGGGGTTATTGAAGGCTTGAAGAAGTACAGGGCTTGTGCCTCAGCAAGGCTCTGAAAGCACTAGGGGATGTTGCCACCAGTGCTGGAAGGAGGCCAGGTCACTCACTAGGGCCACACTCACGTACAGTTGGCCTCCCAGAAGCTTGCGCAGCAAGGCTTGACGTGGTAGCTCTTGTGTTAGCAGCAGTCTGAATGACTGCCAAGTGAGCAAGGCCTCAGATGTGCTTAGTAATAGCCAAGACAGACTTGACACACCTTGCACCACCTCAGCCCCAGGAGAAATTACGTCTGAGTCAGTGAAGGTAATTCTTGCCTGAATGGCAGACCTCAGTAATGACAAACACTGAGGATACCAAACTGTTGGCTTCTCAAGCCTTGAGTTGTGGGAAACGTAATGCTCAGATGTTTTTAACCTTCCTGTTGCATTGCCCACTACTGTCCTCCACTGTTGCGAACTTCCTCTTGAGTGCTGGCTTCAGGATCAGGTTGCTAAAGTACGAAGCGTTTGAAAGAGCAACTCCTACTGCCATTTGTATGTGAATCTAGCGTTCACAGAGTTAGAATTTCTGTAAATGCCATACCAGTGGCTCCGACGGAGTGAAGGTCTGCAGGATCTTGGATCCTGCCTTTGAGTGTGTCTAGGAGCAGATGGGCAGGGAAGGAAGAAATACTAAAAATAAATAAATAAAACCAAGTGGGATGTAGCCCTTCCCCTAGTATGTTCTTCCAGTATTTTGCAAGCAATAGTTTACTCAGCCAGAAGTTGCATCTGCATTGTTATATTTAATTAGCACCAGTAGGTATAGCCTCCATAAACTTGTCTACTCCCTTCTGGAGTCTGTTTGGACGTTGAGTCTCCACAAAGTCTTGCAAGAATGAGCTCCATAATCCAGTTACTTTTGTGTGAAACAGTACTTCCTTTTCCTCGTCCCAAACCCATCCATTGCAGTATTTCCTGGGTGCTCCCCAATGCTCAGGCTCTGTGGTGTATTGGACAGTGATTCCTCAGTGACCTTCTCCTTAGCATTTCCAATTTCATTAGCCGATCTTCCATGGTTGCTCTGCACCGTCTGTCGGCCACTGCCCACTCTGGTTTGAGCCTTCCATGTTAAGCTGTGTTTGGGGAAAAAAAAGTGGTTCTAAGCTTTGTGCTTGTAGTACAGAATCCTAGCAGCCTGGGTAGTGCTGCTGTTTTTTGTGAAACTTGGCAGCGTTTGGGCTTTTCTCTTCTTTCTTCCCCAGTAACACACTGTGACTTTCTGAGAAAGTCTCTTCTGTTACTTCCTGCCTGTTCTGTTGTGAGCAGACTCTTAAACATTTATTTCACAGCTGGTGTTAACTTTCAGCCTCTAACACTGTCTCTGTACCCTCCCCACTCAGGTGATTGTGGGCTTGCTGAAGTTCTGGCCGAAAACTCACAGTCCCAAGGAGGTGATGTTTTTAAATGAGCTGGAGGAGATCCTGGACGTGATTGAGCCATCGGAGTTTGTGAAAGTTATGGAGCCCTTGTTCAGGCAGTTGGCCAAGTGTGTCTCCAGCCCACACTTCCAGGTGGGTTGCAGCTCGGGGAGGGGATAGGGCACTGGTTTGCAACCCGCTTGGCGTGTGAGGGTGACACCACAGCTTTGGGGCTTGTCCTTGTGGATCAGTGGGACACGGAGGTGTGACCAGGGTGAGTATTGGGGTGACATGTGGTGGGAGGCAGTGAGAATCCTCATCACAACCACGGAGCAAGTTCACGCAAAGAGAAAACAAGGAGGATCAGTGGAACCCCTCCTGCTGCACTGTGCTGTTCAGCACCATGTATTGCAGCAGGCTGGAGCTGGAGCAGAGGTGCTCTGCCACCTCCTGTTTTGTCTAGCGAACATAGAGGACACCCATCCAGTGTCACCCTGTTGCAGTAAAACCAAGGTGGCTGCAGCATTGGAGGAAGGCCAACCAAGGAGACAGTGTGAAGAGAAGGTACTCTGTACTATTCTGGTGTAGGTGGTAAAGAGCGAGGTAGAATGAAAAAGTGCTAAAGTCTCCTGCTTCGTTGTTCCCACTGAAGGGAAGCTGGCTGTAGTACCAGGGTAAAACATCTCTGTAGCTGATAGTCTTAAGGCTTAAAAGGTCGAGGGTGGCAGTAACTGTTAGTAGCTCCTAGCCCGTGTTCTTGGCTCACTGCTTTTGGTTGCCATGAGGAGTGACCAGGAAGAAGATGGGTTGCAGGTGAAACACATGGCTGACCCAGGTATGGGTGGGGGGAAGGTGACATAGCCCTCTCCCAGGGTGAGCGTGACTGCACTCAGTGGGACGGAGAGGTACAAAGTCAAGAGTGTACAAGCCAAAAATGAGGTCAGTCTAGGTCACGTGTGTGTGTAAAAGATCACTGTTTCCTGGAAAGGACTGGGGGAGCCTGATGGAAACCAGCTGGACGTGGATTACTGGTGTGGTGATGGGAACCAGAGGGCTCCTTGACCTTTGGGCATGGAAGGAGCTACCATAGGGAACTAAGGAGCTTGAATAAAGTAGGATAAAAGCTGAAGGAGAGGCATCCTGTACTTGACAGCAGCCCTCATCTACTGCCAGCTCTTGAAAAACAAGACTCAAACCCAAACTTTTTACAGCCTAAGACTTTACAGCCTAAGAAAATTAACCTCAAAGGTGTCCCATACAATCGGGCTGAAGAGTCTCTGTCTGCAGCTTGTCTGAGAGCAAAAATAGGAATTGACTTCTTGGTGAGTCTGAACATCTTGGTGGGGGAGAGTTTTCTGAGTGGGTTGTGTGTTAATCTAGCAGACAAAGGCTTCAAAAGATCTAATAGCTGGAAACCAAAGCTGGGTAAGTGAACATGAGGTGAGTTTCTCTTCATTTACTCATGTGGAACAATACATTAAGGGGATATAGTGAGTTCTCCATCATCTGAAATATAAAACTGAGACTGGCTGTGTCTCTTCCTAGGTGTTTAAGCCATTCTCAAGTTAGCGCTAAATGTAGAAATTAGCCTGGTGATCTGCATTACCCAGATTCATGCTTAAATATGAAGAATTGGGGTTGAATCTATCACTATGTGGAAACTTGTTAGGCTTGTTTGTCTTGTTAGAGCAGGATGGCTGCCCCAAGATTTTTCCATATTTTCACCCTTACTAAATCAGGGTGATGAATTGTGGGCCTGATGACTGAAGCTCCAAAGCCCAGAGAAACTGTTGTGGGGAAGGCCAGGGAGAAATGGAGCTTTACTGAGCACGGTCTGAGGAAACAAGGGAGGCACCTGGCGTGGATGACGTTGCTGTCCTCAAGTGTTGTGTAAAAGGTGTTGGAGTCATCAGTGTAGTGAGGGTAGGCTTGCCTAGTCAAGAACATGAGGTTTTCCCCAGGAAAGGGGGAAGTGTCTGACAGAGGCTGAGGGGAAGAGGGCCGGGCAGCGGGGATGGAGAGCCTTGTAGAAGTTGGTGAAAGCCAGCCCTGCTGCCCACGCCGTGGGGAGGCATCTGCTCCTCAGCTGGGTGGTGGCGAGCTCTGGTCTCCTCGCTGCACAGTTTCCCTGTGCACCACGGGCGTTACTGGAAGGAGCCTCTCCAAGGATGGCTTTCTCTCTCACTGCAGGTGGCAGAGCGAGCGCTGTACTATTGGAACAACGAATATATCATGAGCCTGATCAGCGATAACGCAGCCAAAATTCTCCCGATCATGTTTCCAGCGCTCTACAAGAACTCCAAGAGCCACTGGAACAAGTAGGTCTTTCCACATGCCCTGGCACTTGCTGTGCATGCAGGATTGCTTGACCTACTATCAATCTTGGGGCATGCTGCTACAGTGCAATGATGGATGGTGACATGAGGTGCTGAGCCAGAGGGGTTGTTAGTAGGATCAGCATGGAAAAGTGCCACAGACCGTGGTGGCCTGCTTCTGCAAGGGGTCAGGCGCCTGCAGTGACCTGCCTTGGGGCCACCAGGTCTACCCAGAGTTTGATCCCTGCATATCACTGATGCTGCCGGTCTTCTGGAGGTGTGTGGTAGGTTTTCCAGCCAGCTTCTGGCTGCTTGTTAACTAATGGTCACCCCTGTGCTCTGCATGAGCAGAGACCTTGGGTAATGCAGTGCCCGACTCCTTGAGCGCAGGAGGAATGGAGAAAGCAGAACCAACCAGGCAGATGTCCCGTGTCAAATTATTGCCCTCTGTCTGATTCCTCGAAACCAGGCTGGTTTATGGTCCTCCCACCAACTTCCTTTCTTCCCACTGCTGCTTCAGTTGATTCCTTACGTGGTTAATTCAAGTGGTAAAACTTACTTCCTTTAAATGAATTAGCTAGAAGTACTCAGTCCGCAGCCAAGATCCTAAACTCTTCCAGCAAAAAACACAAGAGAGAAAAAAAGTTGTCTTCCCCTTTTGTAGAGGGTGTTAAAAAGCAAAATAATTAATTCTAGGGAGGTTGGGTGAGTCCAGGCCTTAGGAGTATGCTGTGCTGGCAAATACAGGGTTGTGAGGGGGAACTTCTGCAGAGAGCTCCCCACTGACGAGCTGTGTGACTGCTTCCTTCTCTTCACTGTATCAGGAAGCGTGAACTTGAGTCAGGGGTGCTTTAAAGACAGGTAGACACAGATGTGCTGTTATGAACGTGCACAAACACCCAGACACACACACACACGTGTGCACCAGCAGGCATGTGCCTGTGCAGACAGGCACATACGCACGTGCACGCACACGTAGGGCGTGTGTGCAGATGTGCACAGTTCCACGCTCGCTCAGTGTTGCTGCCCCACCTGATCAGAGTTCAGAGAAGGGCTTCATGTTCTTGTCTGAAATCTTTCACCAGCTGTTTCTTGCACCATTCAAGATTCATGTTTCTGCCTTTTCTTCTCTCCTTCCCGGTGGTATGGCAGAAGGAAGTCCTGAAGGTGGTTTCCTCTTATTTATCCTTGACTTGGTTTTAGCACTAGCCATGTCTTTTCAGGGCAGGTTGAGCACCTCAGATTCTTCTCTTCCTTCCAATAGCTCATCTGCTGCAACGCCTCGTCAGACAGCCTGCGTAAGTCCAGCGGGGCTGTGTAGCTCTCTTCCTTGTTCCATCTGCAGAGCTGGCGAGGTGCAGAGCTCAGTCTGCTCAGTCTCTTACCTTTTGCCTCTGAGTCGGGTATTTCAGAGACAGCTTCAATACTTGTTTTTATTCCCTGGAAGAGTCCTTGTTCCAGAGAGAGCTCACATACAGTGCAACCTATCCATAAATTGCTGACACAAAGTCAGCTTCTCTTCTGTGGTGTCCTTGGTGCTGGTCCCCATCTCTACAGGGCTGCTGAATGTCTGTGTTTTGGGCAGCTCCGTGGCAAAGCTCATGACTGAGTACGGGGCAACCCAAAAAAAGCCATGGTGTATATGTGAGGTGAACTGTGGGGGGCACTAAAGTTAGATTAGCTAAAGCCCCCTTGAGAACAGCCCTGAGCAGGTCCCCAGCGTCCCTCCTTTCCAGTTTCTAACTACGAGAAATAAATGCATGAATGCTGATTTTGCACTCATTAGTCTGACCACAGTAAAGCAGGCCTGTCCCAGTGGTGGTGGTCTCATTCTTCTCCATCTCTTTTCCCCTGTGCAGTAGTCTCTGCTGTGTTTGTGGAGGGGGTTTTCCCATGCAAAGAGCTGGGACTGTCTTTTGTCACCTTGCTGTAGCGTTGTCGCTGATTAGAGCTGCTGATGCTGTTAGTTCTTGTCGGGACTCCTGGTGCTAACCCAGGGCTGAGAACCTGGAGGGATACCACCACGACTTGTTCTCCTTTCCTCATTTCTTTGCAGGACAATCCATGGGCTGATCTACAATGCACTGAAGCTCTTCATGGAGATGAACCAAAAGCTTTTTGATGATTGCACGCAACAATACAAGGCAGAGAAGCAGAAGTGAGTAAGAGATTCTTACCGAGTGACTTGAGCTCCTCCTGGATTCTCCTTGGGGTACAGTAACAGATGGTAAATGCTGGTAGGCAGAGGGGAAATGGAAAGGTGGTGCAAATAATTTTGTCAAAAAGTAGGATTCCTCAGCAGTAGCTATGTGTAGGGATGAGAAGAGGTACAATGTGTGTGCCCTGATAAAAATCCTTTCAGTTCTGCTGAAGCAGGTAGCTTGGAAAAGAGTGACAGAGTTTGCTGGGTCAGGAGGAAATAAATTGCAATGTAGAGGATTCTCTGCAGAGACACTTAGGCTCTGCCTTGGAAATATTTACCAGTTTGTATATGCCATAGTGAGACCAGTGGAACCCTGCTGCTTTAGAAAGACTTCTCTGAAGAGCTTTGCTGCAGTGGGCATAATGCATCTTTCATGCCGCAGGACGCTTCAATTTTCCTGTAATAAAGATGGAATAATACCTGGAATTTCAAAGAGCAAACGGTGGGGATAAAATCTGAGCTCAGCAAGTACCTATGTCATGATGCTGTAAAGAAGAAAAAACTCCACTTTTTCACTTTTTCTGCTTCCTCGTGCTGGTTTTGGTGCTTGCATGACTTGCCTTGGGGAGCTAAGTCAGTTCAGTAAGCTAGAAGGATTTTTTTTTTATTTTTTTTTTTTTCCCCTCCTGGTCTGTTTTCTGCTAACTTAGTGACATAAAATTGTGCTTCTCATTTCTTTATGATCCAGCACTGCCACAAGGGTGGTGGTGGGGAGAGCAAGGCTAACCCTTGCTGGCAGTGGGAAGCTCTGGGATACGTTCAGTTGATTTGGGAAATAGTAATAAATAACAAAATTGAGTTATGCATCAGAGCTTGGAGACGGATAGCTGCATATGGAGAAATTAAGATTTTGTTAACATCTAAATTGGGAACAAGCAAGATTTTTTTTTTTTTTCCCCCCCCCATTTTAGGGCATTTGTGAAGCCCACAAATGTCTGCACATATATTCTAAGTCACAGTGACAGCACATTTACTATGAGGTCTACCTGGTATTTCCATCAGGAGTTTTTTCCTACCTGTTTAGCTTCTACCCACGCTGAGCTGCTGAGGGTGGCTGTTCCCAGCATTGCTGTGTGGCTGATGGAGGATTGTTCTGGAAAAGGTCAACAAAGCAGCTCCGAGCTGTCCAAGAAATGGACGGGTAGAACTGCACTGTTTTCTGCTCCTGTTAAGAGGATTTTTTTTTTTTTTTCTGTAGTGCCTCTCTGCCTAATTATGCTTCAGAAAACCTTGTCTTGGGTTTTTATCAAGGATATACCTTTTGTTCTCCTAGGTGACCAAATTTGGTAAAATGTCAATTAAAAGCTTTGTGGGTGGGATGTAAAAATGTCTTTTAGCAACTGAGTCTGAGATAAGTTTACCTACGGTGAGCGTGATACAATTCCTTAGCTAAGTGGAGTTTCCCTGCCACAGAGACTCAGCTAAGGAGGCTTTTCTGGGCAAAACCAAGAAGGCTTAACTCTGCTGTCCCTAGCACAGCATTAGCAGCTCTTCCTGGCTTGAGAAGTGTGAAAAGGGCCCCCTCGGAAGGGATGGAAACAGTTAGAAAGGGAAATAATGCAGGAGGGAATGGGGTGGGACAGCAGGCTGGGGGGGGAAGAGCAGCTTGTCTGGGCAAGGAGGTAGAGACTTTGGGCAGAGGTACAGCGAAGAGCTGGGTCAGGGCGGTGGGGGTGGTAGTGTTATTCTTAATGTCAATGAATAATAGGAATGGGATAGGCAAAGGGGACAAATTAGGGGAGGAGATCAGGGCTTTTCAGGCAGGGGGCCTGGGACTGGACAGAATGTGGGACAATGGTGGGGATGAAGAGCTTGCCCTTAGGAAGATGGATTAGAAACTGGCTCTTCTAGAGCAGTATGCCTGAGTTCTTTGCTGAAGTCCATTGTGAAAATGTCATCTTTTCCCTCCACGTCTTTAAAATATCCAAGAAATATAAGCAAATCCATGTGCACTGAACACTGTGGCTGCATAATCTGGAGCGTAATAGAGTAAGTCATTGCTGAAACGAACAGGGTTAGGAAAAGCATGCTTTACAGGCAGGAGAAAGTGTTGTTTGGTGGTGTCTGCCCAGTGGAATGAGACCATTTCATAGGTGAAGAGTCTGTCTCGGAGTTTGGGGTGCTGTTCCTGCGCTTCCCCCACCTGCTCTTCTTTCCAGAGTGCTGCGACCCGTTCTGGTGAGCAGCAGGTCCCAGTGCCTCCATTCCAGGGAAGAAGACGTGCTGTGTCTACAGCTCATTTTTGCTGCCTTTCTGTCAGAGCTGACTGCAGGCCATGCCAGTCAGTGGTCAGTAATGTGGCATTTCAGTCAATTGCCATTTTCTTTTCAAACACGGAGACTTAAACGGAGTAGAAATAGTACTTTTTTTTTTTTTTTTTTTTTTTCCCCCCCCTAATAAAAACCTGCGAGGCTGTGATGATGTTGAGTGCCTCTGGAGTAGAGCAGCGTGCTGAAGGCTGCCTGTGGGAATGCTGGCTGGATCACTGAAATGTAGGATTGACCTTTAACTGTGCGATACCTTACTTTTTCCACAGGAGCTCGGCCTTATTCAGTGAGACTGACGAGTTTGAAACGCTGAGGCTTCTTTAGCATAGACAGAAAAAGGAAGAGACACCCGTGAAGTGTTTTCCCAGTGAGCCGCTAGAGACCTTGTGCTATGAACTAGAAAATAGCACATGTGGGAAGGACTGCACATGCGAACAAAGCCAGCAAATGTGAAGCAGTGGAAAGGAGAGAGCTTGTAGGTACACAATTAGGCTGCACCCAGATGTGGAGAGGCCTGCCCAGAAAAGCCTTGGCCATGTTTTGAACAAGTTACCATGCCTCCGAGCGACACGCCAGCTCAAGCCTGCCATCGCTGCACCCCTGGCTGTGCAGCTGCGAGCGAGGCTGGTCACGGAGGGACAGGCTCCCTGGGACCCGGGGGGAGGCTTCCCTGCTCTTCAGGTGGACTGACCGCGCCTTTGCTAATCTCCCTAGACATCTTGAAGCTGTTTGAGTTCTCAGAACCCTTGAGAAAACAGCGGTGAGGTCGGGGCAGATAGGTAGCAGCTTGTCCTGAGTGTCCCCTTCTGTAAAAGACCTCAAACACTGTCTTTTAAGCAGCGTGGTGTCAGCATGCCCTGGCGCCGCCCTGACACCCCTCCGGTGGCAGCTACCTTGCCTCCTTCTGCGTAGGCCACAGCAGTGGGAAGGAGAAGATACCTCCCAGTATAGTTCTTCTTTTCGAGATGTCCTGCCAGTGGCTTTCTCGTGCTGCTAGTGACGGGGTCAGGAGTGAAGGGAGCTGATGAGGTGCACATCATCCAGCAAGCAGGGCTGGGGGTGCTGCTCCTGTAGACTCAGCGCGGGCCTCGTCGCGGTTTAGAAAGGTAAGATTCTCTGCAGGAGTCACGTGGACGGGTGACACTTTCGGATAAACTGCAGTGGAAATGGCCTAGTGGAGGAGGTAAAGCCAGGCTGATTGGGGAGGTTGGGAGTAATCTTCCCTTTATGAGGGATGTTGGACAGCTGTAATACTACAGTTAAGTCAGTGCGGCATATAAAGGCGAAACTTTTGTTTGGCTGAAAAGAGTGATCACGGGTGGAAAGCTTTCAGATTTTTGGAAGCCCTGCTCTTAGTCAGACTGGGTATTCTCTTTGTAAGGTGGTCTTTCGCGATACCAGCTGAGCACGACGGGCAAACTGTTGGATTTCAAAGTGTGGTTAGGAACGGAGGGCTTCCCTGATGCCATTCAGAGCGCTTTGCTGATCTGAAAGGAAGGAACTGTTGCTAGGGATGCGTGGAGCTGAATGGCTGGAGGAGTGCCCTTGGCTCACTGTGTACCAGACCAGTAAGGTGATGTAGTCCAGCCAAACCAGATGAGCTTTGTTACACCTTTACGTGATACTGGAAAAGTAGACATTGCTTTGGAGGGGCGGTGGCCTTCGTGATGTGAGGGCCCTTTGTGGACAGACATATTGGTCTACATTTCCAGTGGCAAGATTGCACTAATACATATGTTTCTGTTTACCAGACATTAAAAAGGATGCTGGAGGAGCTGGGGTTGAGGCAGGAAAGAGCTAGGAAAGATCAGTGCTAGCTCCTGGTCACAGTCTCCTGCAGAGATCTCCAGAGCTCTGTCAGAAAATGAGGTGTGGGTTATTCATTTGGGGTTTGGCTTTTTGGTTGGTTTTTGTTTGGGTTTTGGTTTTTGATTTTTTTTTTTTTTTTTTGATCCTATGTTCTCTGATAAGAGTAGCCTCCTGCTTGAATGTTTGGCAGCTTCATTCTCATTTTTAGCCTCCTTTCTTACATACATTTCAAGAGTGTGTGATGATTACAGGGTATAACAACTTCCTTAGCATGGATAGGTCGGGCACTAGAGAGACCTGTAGCTGGGATGAAAGCCAGGTGGTTAAAGTTGGAAATAAAGCAGAGATTTTAGTGCAGGTGTTTTAAATGTAGAAGAGAATAACAAGGAGTGGTGAATGCTCACCTCTGTTTGCAGGGAATGTTCACTGCCCTGGGATTTACAGGTGGCCCTGCTGAACAGTCATTTAAGGTCTGTGTCAGAACCCGTACCAAGGTCAAGAGACGTGCCTGGGGGTTTGAGCAGCTCTCTGGTGTGTTCTGGCCAGAGAGGGAGGGAACTGTGGGCAGTTGAGCCCCAGCTCTACTGGCAATGGCAGTTTGTCCCTCTGCATCCGTGGGGCACCAGGAAAACGTGTGTTTGACATCCACACTGGTGTCACTGCTTTACTCCAGAAGCCAGTTGCTCTGGTCCACTCCTGCAGCGCAAAGCCCGGGAAGAAGTACCCGTGCAGCCTTTTCTGCTGCCACCCTCTGCCCTGAGGTGAGCAAGGAGCCTGCCTGCCTACCTGCTAGCTGCAGTGTGTCCCCTCTTCTTGCCACATCTCACCTGTAGATAGATTTAGGGGTCTCTGAAGGACCGAGCAGCTCTTCCCCCTCACCTGCACTTTTCTGCTGTCTCTTGCTTTTGTCTTCCTGTGAGTGAAAGCTGCGCTTTCTCTGGGAGTTCATGCTTGCGCTCTCTCTCTCTCTCTCTGCAGGGGAAGGTTCAGGATGAAGGAACGAGAAGAAATGTGGCAGAAAATAGAGGAGCTGGCCCGGCTGAACCCCCAGGTGGGTAACAGCAGGACCCAGGATAAATGAGACAAGAACGTGCTGGGGGTCTTGACCTGCTTCCGCAGCTCATGAGAGCAGGCTCTGGCCCCTGATCTCAGTCCTGTGCACACAGCTGCAGCAGCGCTCTGTCCCTCCAGTGTCTTGGGAACGCTGGCAGTGTTTTACCAGCCTGGCCTTCTGTAGCACTGACCTTTAAGTAACGCCTCACAGAGACCATGAACATGGTGGTGATGGACTCTTCTCTCAGCTGTGGCTTCGCATGCAATGTCCTGTGGCCCAGGGGGCACAGGTAGGAATGGGTGGGATAAGATGCTCCTTGCCTGGCCGTGTACCTGCTGCTGCCTTTGTGGGCAGCTGGAAGAAGTGTGACATGCTGTGTTAAGGTGCTGGGGGGAGAAATCTTGGTGTTGGATGGCGTGCTGACTCTCCAGCTGTCTCTGTTGCCTGCAGTACCCCATGTATTATGCCCCTCTGCCGTTGCCTCCTGTCTGCTGCATGGAAACGGAGACCCCAACTGCGGAGGATATACAGTTGCTGAAGAAAACAGTGGAGACAGAAGCTGTGCAGGTGTGTAGGTGACTGGGATCCTTCCACAAGTACTCTCAGCCCAGCTGGGACATCAGCATAGTCAGGCCAGGGTGCAGCAGCCAGAACTTGCTCTTTCCCAAGTGTTCTAGGGTAAATGCCTTTACTATCGCTAGACATCAACCTGTAGTCTGAAGAGTGGAGTTTATCTAACCTTCCTACTCTGGAAAAAGTGCAAGTGGGACTTGTCTGTGTCCTTTTGGTCTGGCTGGCTCTCAGCCTGTTCTGCAGCATGCTGCAGTCTCATCCAGCATATATCCTAGAGCGGTTGGAGTCAGAGAATGGGGAGGCTGGAGGGGCGAAGGGGTTTGCTACTCATCCCTGACTCCTTTGGTTTGTCTGTAGATGCTGAAAGACATTAAGAAAGAGAAAGTTTTGCTGCGCCGGAAATCTGAGCTTCCTCAGGACGTCTACACTATAAAAGCCCTGGAGGCCCACAAGAGAGCAGAAGAGTTTCTCACCTCAAGCCAGGAGGCTCTCTGACGGGCTCAGGAGCTGGCCCAGGAAGCGCTGCCCCATCCCTTTCCCCCAGGGGTCATGAAAATGCACTCGGTTCTCATGTATAAATAGGGAATGAACATGGTGAGCTGTGCCTGTCCTCCGCTCCCTCTGCATCCCTCCAGGGTAGATCTGGTTTTACGTTATAACTTGTATCTCACCACTGTCACGTCCTCCCGCTTTTCCTCATCCCTCCTGCTTTTCCACCTTGGGTGTGGGTGTGTGAAGGGAGCCTCCCTGACCTGCCGTTCTATCAGCCCAGGCAGGAGTTGCTTCATTTACAGCTGCCGCCTGGTTCTTGCTCTGCCTGGGAGCCGGGGCCTTGCTGCCCTGCAACACAGGCTCAGCGCTGGCCAGAGACGGCTGCACGTGGTTCAGCATGCTGCTGCAAGCCCCAGGTGCCCGGCCCTGCCCTGCCTGCCCCCGCGCCGCTCGGGCAGCCGAGCCCCACGGGGCGGCCAGAGGTCGGGCTGAGCTCCGGGCAGGAGCGTGCGGCAGAATTCCCGGGGCCTCTCCTGCCTCTCGGCCCTGCCGTGGGCTGCAGCTCTGCAGCTGGAGGGTCTCGCCTACAGCAGAGGAGATGTTCGCTCCCATCTTTTGTTTCAAGCCCCTTGTTCTGTTCCCCTGTCGGTGGGGTTGGGGGTTCAGTGCTTCACTACCCCCAGTAAAGCTGGGCGTGAGCACTGCACACCACCGCAGCCCTCCCTGCAGAGCGTCCTTAGACGCTCTCCTGTGGGAAAGTGAATTCTTTCAGCTGTTTGTGTTGGTCCGTGCTGCCTCGTCTCCATCCTGGTGTCTTGGGTTAATCGTGGGCCCAGAATTAACTTCCCGCTTTGTGGCAGGTGTCAGCCAACTGACCCCTGCTTTCTTCCTCTGCCTGCTCAATTAAAATACTCCTGCAGCATTCCCTTTGTCGCTGTATCCCATCCTTAGCTCTGCAGTGGCCAGGGTTTCTAGGAAGCTTGTGCTGCTGAAGTAATTTCTGCAAACTGGCGGAAGCAACGGACACGCGTTACGGGGCCAGGCTGCGTTTCTGACTGTGCAGTTGTCTCCTCCGTCTGATCAATGGCTGCGTGCTGCTGCCCAGTTGTTTCCCTGGGTGCTCTGAGCAAAGTTGGCCTCACCCCATCCCTTTGGCACCTGCTGTGGCCCGAGGCCCTTGTTAATTAACATCAGGGACTTGTGCTAATTCAGAGTGCACTCGCCGATAGCCCAGGGGGTTGCGCAGCACTTGGGTGCTACTGTGGTCCAGCTTTTTCCCCTGCATTTTTGTGACCTCGGAGAGGCTGGTTTGTGATAGACTAGGGAGTCTTCCTTGCTTTTTGCCTGCTGCGCTCACTTTTCTCAACACATAAGCTTAAGTGGGGGTTGCAATAGCGCAGGGAGCTGATGGGGCCGGTGCTAATCTGACACTGCTTTGCAGCATCCTGGGGTGTTGCAGAAGGTCCTGCTGTATCTGTCCTCACCAGTAAACCGTTCCCAGGTCAGAGGCTCGTCCCCTCTAACCTTACTACTGGCGTGCAGCACATCTCTCCTCCAACCCAAACTACGCTGGTTTTCTTCCTGTGTGTCCTGTACCCCCTGCCCTGTTCAGCTCTCTTTCGGTTCGGCCCACACGAGGCATGCCACCACCTCTGCGGAGCAGCTGGCAAGCGTGAGTAGGTGTGGTGAGATCACCCACGGTCACGCAGGACCCCGCCTCCCCTCCGCTTCACGCGACGGGCCAGTTCATCAGGAGACTTAGGAAAACACAACCTCAGGGAGGTTACCGCGTATTTTGAACGTTAGTCCGAGCTCGTGGTCAGCTGCCAAACAATTACCTCATGCCTGGCACAGCCTGTAGACGTGCGCTGGGTGGTGCTGGATGGCGCCCCGGGAGCAGCAGGCACCCCGGGGCACGGCGGAGACGAGGGCTGCCGCGTGCCACCCGCAGCAGGGCTCGGGCCGGGGGGGAGGCTCGCCCTCCCCGTTGCACTACGGGCTCTGCGACTCGCCCGCTTAGCCTTGCGTTAGGAGGCGTCACCTCGTTTTTTAGAGCGCTACAGCACGCGCGCGCGCCCTCGCGGGGAGCCTGCTTGCTGCTGGGCAGTAGCCGCCCTTCCCCGCTGCAGGATCTTTCTGCCCACAGAGAAAAGAGTTCTGGGGTGGGGTGGGGGGCTGTCACTCTCCTGCAGCTCCTCTCTGTGCTGGCAGTCCCCGAAGGAGTTGTGCCACGCGCAGGACGGAGGCGTCGCGACTCTGTGCTGCGCAGCTTCGATGTTCTCATAGCTTTGTGTGTCTCGTTCTGGGTCAGGGAACTTAAGCTTTAGTACCTTCACGTTGCCGTTAGTTTGCTGCCTATTCATTCCAGGGTCCTGGACATCTAAGAAGGGGACCATGTGAGAAAAGGGGGGGGGGGTGTGGGGGTGTGGGTGCGTTCACCCTCTCTGCCGTACGTACCGCTCATACGCAGACCTGTGTCTGCCACGCTACAGCTGCCCCTTGCTCACTCGGTTTCTAGCATTAGTGCTGCTCATTTCTGCCTCTGCCTTTCCCCACATCAGCCAAATGGACAGAACTGGAGCTGCCTCTTCCACTTCACCTGGCTCCCTCTGCCCGAGGGAACAAGCAAAACTTAACTACTGCATTCACCCCCTGGACACAAGTATTAAGCTGCTTACAGTTCATATGTACATATGGTGTACTTTATTTTCAGTAGAGCATTACATAGTATGAAAGTGTTGGATTTTGTACAGATGTCCCTGTATGTACAGAACTAAATAAAACCGATCTCTTGGAAAGACACATTGGACTCCACCTCTGATCTTCCAACCCGCAGCCCCTGTGCTGGGAGGGGGGGCCCGGGTGAACACGGGGATCGATCCAGTCTGTGTCCCGAGGGGATCTGGGCAAAGCCAGCCAAGATCCCCTCCCTCCAGTATGGAAACCAGTCAGAAGCCAACACAAGGACATCGCAGCAACTTACTTGCCAGCCAGAACCGGGGAAAAAAAAGAGTGGGAAGGGAAGGTGGACCACGTCGGTGGGAGAAGGTGGAAGGTCGAGGGCGGCAAGTCCTGTCGCCACCCGGCTCCGAGGCAGCGGGCGGTGGAGGGAGGGGGCTGGGGGCAGCCGTGGCTTGGTCCTCACTTCCACTCGGGTCTGGGGCCGGGGGGGTTCGGCCGGGCTTGCAGCGCGCGCTGCACCACGTCCTTCCACTGGTCCTCGGAGATCTGGCTGGCCCAGGCAGGGATGCCCAAGGTGGGGAGCTTCACGCCCGCCATCGTCCTCTTCACCAGCTCGACGTGTTCTGGGGGCAGAGGAGGGGTGAGTGAGGCCGGGGCCGGGCCCCGCCAGCCGGCTGGGCCGGATTTGGAGACGCCGTTACCTGCATCCATGGGGATGGAGCTGCGGCTGCTCCGAGCCGCGGCGCCTTCCTCCCCCTCCTCCTCCTCCTCCTCCTCCTCCTCGCTGTCTGCCGGCGGGTCGGGCAAGTGGAGCCTCAGCATCTGCAGAAAAAAGGCGGGCAGCGGGGCTCAGGGCCCCCTCCCCAGGTGTCCCCCCAGCCCCGGGCGGTACCTGCAGCCGCTCCTGGAGGCCAGGGCCCGCCGGGGCGGCGGGGGGGCCCTGCTCCGGCTCCTGGCTCAGCGGCTGGTACAAATACCCGCCGCCTCCTTCCTCCTCCTCTTCCTCCTCCTCCTCTTCTTCTTCTTCTTCTTCTTCCTCGTCACCGCTCCAGCCCGCCGCGCCGTCGGGGGCCTCGGGCGGCCCCGGTTCCTCCGGACACACCCGCTCCGGCCCCATGCTCCCCGCCACCGCCATCCACCGGGGGAGGGCCCCGCCGCCGCCCGCCGCCGCCGCGAAGCACTGTGGGTATTGTAGTCCTCCCGCCGCGCCGCCATGGCGGTGCCCAGCCGCGGGGTGGGGCACGGAAGGCGCCCACCCCTTCACCCCCCCTCCCCAAATTGGGGTGGCGACCCTGGGGCTCGGTCCCTTCGGAGGACGCCCCGCTGGAGAGGGTTGGGGGATAGGCGGCCGGCGGGGCGGGCGGGGCGGTGCTGGACTACAAGTCCCAGGGAGCGGCGGGCGCGGCGGGGTTGCCGGGTTGCCTTCCCGCTGCCAGGTACGGGGCTGAGGGGAGGGGGGGGGGACACACACACGACACACACCGGTGGGGTGGAGCGGGGGCTCCCCGCCGCCCCCCAACCCCCGGGAGGGCTGGCGGAGCTGTGCCCGGTGGCGCCGGGAAGGGAAGGGGAGGGGGGGGTGTTGGAGTTCCCGCCGCGGCCGCAGCCCTCCCCGGTTGCCCTCGGCCGGCGGGGCGGTTGGAGGCGAGGGGCGGCCATCCAAAACCACGACCCCCCCCCCCCTTTTCTCCCCTCCCTCAGGGGGCTGGCGGGTCCCTGCTGAGGAGGCCGCGCTGGTGCAACCGCCGCTTGGCCTTCCCCCTCCATCCCCGCGGGGTGCTCGGGCGCTGTCACCCCCCCCCTTTATTCTTCCCCCCCCCCCCCCCCCCCAAGCCTTGGCCACGGTGATGGGCTTTTGGGCCTCGCCTGAGGCTCCGAGCTGGCCCCCCGGCTTTCCTGAGCCTTGCTCCCCCCTCCCAAGGGCTCTGCCCATGGCGTGGCAGGAGCCAGAGGCCAAAATTTCCCAGCGTGGGGAGGGAGGGGGGGGGGGGTCGAGGAGTATGGCCCAAGCTTCGACACAAGCTACAGAGAAGCGTCGGTGGGGTTTGGGGGTTTGGGAGGCGAGGCGTGGAAGGGGAGGGGTTGGCTCAGTCGGTGTGAAAATCTTAGCAGGACTTTGGGCAAAAGGAAGTCAGCGGTGGGCAAAAGATTTTGCGCAAAAAAAATTTAGGAGGCGGCGGTGCTGTCTGCGGGGCGGGGGTACGCCAGAATAAATTTCTGCCTGAGCAGTGAGGTCTGGTTCCCGTGTCTGACGCGAGCTTCCAGATCAGTCTCGGTCAGCGAGCTCAGGGGCTGTTGTAGCATTGTCTGCTTTACTGGTGCTGGAATCGCGCTGCAAAGTGCCCGAGCTGCTGAATGTGCAAGCTTGCAAGTTCAACCTGCCTTAGCATAAATAGTCAAAGCATCAGATAAACGTCAAGCATGAGTGAAGAAAGTGGGTTGTCCTTGCGCTATCTCTAACAGTAAGTTGGATGTGCTTGAAATAGAACTGTCTATATGGACTGCTGTGAGCTGGCTGGACTATTTTAAGTGTTACTAAACCTTCTGGCTGGCATCTTTTGGGAGACGGGACTGAGGGAGCCGCACGGTAGGATTTGCTCTCTGGAGTGACTTTCCAGGGGCAGTGGGTTGCTCTGCTTGGGGTGGTGCTGTAATTCTGGGGGTGACAGAGAAAACCTGGGACGCTTTCTGCTGGGTTTCTCCTCCTTGCTGTTGGAGGTTGGCTGCAGCAGGGCTAATCTGAGCAGTTTTCAGAAACGGGTCTAGATTGCATGCACAGAGGAACGAGGCAGCCCGGTGAACTCTCTTTGCGCAAAGAAGTGGATCCAAGGATATATATTTTTGTTCTAAGATTATCATCTGGCTGCTATACTTGGAGATGGTCAGTAGCTTTCTATCTCCAATGAAGTGTTTTCATAGTTAATTGTAGGGTTTGAAAATAGAACGTCTAAAGCAAATAGAACAAACAGCTGAAAAATCTGACTATCAACCCTGATTTTTTTTTTTTTTTTTTTTTTTGGTCATCTATGCCACTTTGCTTAAGTTAGCAAAACAGTTTTGGAGGGCATGCTGGTAAGAAATCACTGATATATTTTTCTGGTGATGTCAGATGGCTGTATGTTGTGCTGGTAGACTCTGTTAGGTGTAAGCTGGGGCAGTTAGGTTGAAGGTAGTTGCAGGCGTTACGCGCATCTTCGGACAACAGCACAGCCAGAGATTTGGGAGTGTTGTCCATAGGTGCTGCATTCGAAGAATGCTGAGCTGACTTGAAATCTGGTTCTTCCCTTGCTTAGCAGCAAAATGCCTCAGCTGAATCGGCCACGCTCTCTTTTTCTGGATGTCAGCTCTGACGAAGAACAGGGGAGGTGTGGAACGATGTCCACAACTATTTCTCTGCCAGCAGACTTGTGAGCTTCCTCTTGTGGTCAAGTGTCTTGCCTGACGGCAGCGACAGAGCCAGTCTGGGGTCACCCCGTGGCTGTTGGTGTGCCACTTACTCTGGAAGTGTGTGCCTGGGCTCGTGGTGCTGTGCACAGCCAGTGGAAGGCTTCGGTCGTTTCTGTGGGACCACAGCAGGTTATTCTGAGCATTTCTTAATGTTAGCCTTCCTGTGGTTAGTGGCACAGGAACAACTCATTGCTGTGCTCTCTTAATTTCCAGCATTGTGATTATCGGGTAGGCACTTCAACAGTAGGTGACGTGTAACCTGATTTTTAGCAACATTATTCCTGCCTGTTAATGACAGGACCTACCAGGGTTTCAACCCACATTTCTCTGCATTCTCTGTGCTTGACTAGCTCGGGATAGATTGTGCTAGACCAGGGGAATGGAGACTTGTGAAGATTGCATGACTGCTGCCTGGGTGAGTGCAAATCGAAATGAAAAGATCTTTAGTTTTTGGAGAGGCGAAATGGGGAGCTGACACGTGCATCGGTGAAAATGAGCAGTGGCTGGGACAGAAGCGCATGTGCCCCTCTGCAAGGGAGACCCCAAGAGTGTGGGTGCACGTGGTCAGGATGCTCAGTGCATCGCTTCTCCCAGCCGAGACTGGGGGAGGAGAGGTGGCCAGAGCTCCCTCATCTAAGGTGAGCAAGCATGTGCCAACCGAACAGAGCGTGTGGGAATGCAGTTTCTTTGGTTTTGTTTCATCTGGAAAATCTCCTCCCTCTATATAAGAAACTTGTGCTTGTTTTGGTGGAGCTTTTTCGTCTCCCTGTAAGCATGCGGTCATAGTTCCTAGGGGCATTGGGGCACGGTTCCAGGTGAACGTGCTGAATCAAAGGAGATTCCTCAGACCTTCAGCCAGCTTCTGGTGTGGGCAAGATGAACTGGGGAGGCCGCTCTAGAAGAGGTGCAGCTCTGGGGAGGAGAGGGGTGGCTCAGCAGGACTGGGAAAAGGGATGTGTGCTTGGCTCAGTGTCTGCACAAATCCAGGTAGAAGGCAACCCGCCTCTTACCCTGCTGGCTTTCGGCAGTAGCAATAGCTTCTCTAATTTAAGCAATTCTTTGGTGTGAAAGCCCTTCCTCCTACCTGTAATGAATGTCAGTGTTGCTAACTGTCCCTTTGCTTTGCGGTGCAGAGTGAAAAAGCACCTGGTTCGCCTGAGCTGGAACTGCCCCCCGCAGCCGGTGCCCTCCCAGTTCTCTGGTACCTTTTTGCCTCTGTCTTATCAATATTTCTGTGTTTGATAGCCTACGTCCCTGTTGCTGGTGTCCTAAATGAGAAATCACAGAATGTGTTTTGCATAGCTTAATGTCGTACAGTCGGGGGGAGATTGTTAGTAAATCGTTTCAGGCCAATTTTGTTGTTCCCCTCTCCCCCTGCTGTGCCCTGTGTAATCTTGAAAGAAATCTAAGGCACACTGCTTAATGTCAAGTGTATTAATGCCTCCTATTAAGTAGGAAGTCCTCATAGGAATGAGGTTGGAAAGCGGTGTATTTATGTCCTCGTTTATCTCATGTAAGTTATCACTGGAAATCAAAACCTGAAATGGAGCGTAACAATGTGCGTGGTCGTAGGACAGAAAATAACTTTTTCTCAAAAAAATATGTTTAACTCGTATGTTCAGAGAGGGGAAAACTGCGGGAGGAAAATTGACTTTGGGACAGAAGACTGCCCTAATGAAACAATTTTGGCAGAAGGCAGGAGAGGAGCGAGGCTGGAGCTGGACAGGGGAGGCACGGGGAGGGGTGGAGGGGTCCTTGGGAGGTGGGGCTGTGGAGGGAGAAGAGCGGGGTGGGTGGACCCGTGTGTGGCCGAAAAGGGGGGAACAGCAGCTTGGTGAAGGCGGGAGGACTTCGGGACTGTTTCAGGGTAGTGAAGAAGAGAAAGATGGAGCCCGTCTGGATGATTTTATTGGTGTAGAGAAGAGCACCTGGGTTTGGAAAAAACCCTGGCAGCTTGTTCAAGCCTGCGTTTGCCTTTGCCTTTTAACATATGAACCTGTAAGGGTTGCTTCACGCTTCTGATCGCTTTGTTTTCACAAAGCAAATGAGTGTTTCCGCCTGCCCCGGGTCTGAGGAGCGGCGGCAGGAGCCTGTGCTGGCTAAACCTCGCGCTCTCTCTGAAGGGGTATCCATCTTCAATCCCATCACCTCCACCGTGGCCCCGGGGCCTGCATACAACCGCCTGCCTCCTGGAAAGGACTGGTCTCGGGCAAGATCTTTCCCAGTAGTTGTAATTGTAGGAAACAACATGACAACATCGTTGTTACAACATCAACGTACGTTTTCTACAGCGCAACCAGCTGGGCCTTGAGCTGCTGCCTCTCCATTGACCAGATTAATTGCTTAGGACGTGCCGCCTTCGTTTCCTTTGTTTCTATGACTAATCTTCATTACGAAGCTCTTCAGGCAGGGTAGCTGGCTCCTGCTGGAGCCAAAGGACCAGCGTCCTGCTCTGGCAGCAGTGTGCTCCTTGGCACACGGCTCCAGTGAACTCCCAAGGGGGAAGAAGAGTTTTTCCCAGCTTTTCTGGAAAAATAGGCAAGCGGCTTGGTACGATGCCTGACTGCCATGCCAGGCGGCTGTGCTCTACCCCAGGAGGAATCAAGTAGAAGAACTTGGAAGTAAGATTCATCCTCTCAACCTTCCAGGATCAGGCTCAGTCTGAAGAGTGTTGAAAATACTGACACTGGTCAATAAAGTCCAGTTAAGCTCCTT